ATAATTAATTTAAATATATGAATCGAAATTGAATTTTTTTCCATATAAATTGTTGAGGATAACTCGTTAATTTGATTAAAGCATTTGAAACACTAAATAAATTATTGGTGCAATGTGTGTTGAATAAGCGGTGGTGGAAAAAAATTGAAAACAAGTTCAAAATCATTTTCAATTCTGTTCAAAGAAAGGTGTGCATCACATCCTTATCTATATTCAGAGTTTGAAACTCTTTTGCTCCATTCTGCCACCTATTCCTAACCTTAAAGACATTAGTATCGTCTTAATGACTTTCTTAAGACCTCTTATGCTCCTGAATTCAATTGCAGGTTACATTAAGTCATTTCAAACTCTTGGCATAAATAAAATCGACAAAAAGCTTCACAACAGGATATGCTAAAAATTAAAATCTAATTTTGGAGATAAAAAATGTTAATTTCATTCGCACGTTTAATGCGTGATGAATATTTTTAATAATTTATAGCTATGTTTATGCTGTTTGCATTTGAGGTTATTTTTGTATATCATCATGATCATCAATTTGCAATATTTGAACCACAAAAGTGATGAAAAAAATCGGGTAAAAATGCGAATAAAAAAGAGAAATAAAAAGTTCAATAATTTGTATGGCAAACATTAATGTGAGCAAATAAGAGAAGAATTTAATTTATAAATCAACAATCAATTGCATGAACGTGCAAAAATAAAACAAATATTGCATGAAACAATATAAAATTCTTTTAATGATAAATGTCTACAGAATTTGTGGATGGAGATATAAAAAATCAAAAATACAATGATTATTGGCAAATATTTTCAGATTATGTATGTGCTCTGAATTATTGGGTTTACTGCTATTTAATTAGTTTAATTTTATCCTTGACAACATTTTAATAATTATTATTGTTTACTGTCTGGCGATATATAATTCAAACTAATTATCTGCTCTCATTTGATCAGATTGAGGTCCTCATTTTGCAATAAATTATTTATCCTAAAATTGATAAAATTCACTTTTATTTTTTTAAGTAAGTATCTCTTTTCGTTGAGCTACCCAATTTTAAAGCATTGTAAGTAAGGATCACGTATTTCATTACAATATGTAATTCCAATTAAATCATATACCTCGAATTTTGTTAATTATCATAAATCTGAAACTTTCTTACAATTGCATTTCAATATAAAGTCATTTCAATAATAATTAAATTGCATATTGAATCTTCGTCTTATCGCACATGTACATCTTCAATTGTAGCAATAAATGTTTGCAATTTTCGAAATTATAATTGAATTGAGCAAAAGAAACTGACAAAGACATAAAATAAGGTTATCACATGAATATGATCTAATTTCTGTATCTTGCATGACATTTGGATATTAAGGCAGTTAATTAAAATTTTCGCTGTAGCTCTTGAGGATTTCATCACCCGATAATTTTGAAGGCTTTCTAGAAACTGAATTTCCATAAAGGTTGGCTCAAAACACGCAAATAAAAGATTAGAATCTTAAAAAAAAAAGGAGTAGGTAAGTAAGATCCTTTGACCTTAAAAATAATAATAAAGATCACAACGATACCAAATTTATCTCGCATCCCAAAATATCATCAACAGCAACTATTACTTATTGTTTTAAACAAAAGAAAACAAGGGACGAAACGGACTAACCTCTTCAGCATAAAAAACTGACATAATAAATGATAATAATTCGTTTCCATCGCTTAACAGAACCGACAATGGAGAAGACTTTTTAAGAATATTAAATTTTTATAAAAATTTCATTTCATTTTCCCTCATCTCCTCCTTTATACTTAACATTTATATTCCCTCTCTATCTCTTTTATGCTAATAAATGAAGATGACATTGGTCGTGGTTGTATCATAAAATGAAGTAAGAGTATGAAAAAGAAACGAAAGAACTAACTGGGCAATTGAATTGTATAAAGATGAAAATAATATAATGAAATGAACCGAAAGTTTGCGTGACCTCTTAAGTATAAAATGGAAATTTTCATCTCAACTGTATGCTGAGTGGTTGTCGAGAATGTCCATGTATTGAAATAAATTGGAGTTTTCTGTTTTTTTTTTGAGAATTCAATCCAAATGTTAAAGTTGGAGAGATAACTACAACTGCTTACTAAATACACATTTAACAAAGGACACTAAAAGTTTCATACTTGATATTAGTCTGACAGTAATTAACATAAAATTGTCTCCTGTTGCTGTACATCTTGTGTCTAATGAAAAATAAGTTGTTTCTCTGCCACACGTGTATACAAGGCTTTATACAAGCACTAATGACTGATAGTACGGATTAATAAAATAATTCTTGCTTATTTTAAAACCTCCTCATCATTTTTTCCATTCGTCACACTCAACTTAGTTCTTTTACATTTTACCTTAATTTTCCCATAACATTTGCTACTTCTACAGCCATGATAAGCATAAAATGAAAAAAAAAAATGGAATTCTCATATCGAATACCAAACGACAATAAAGCATTCGATTGATTGTTGATTTACATTTTATTAGCATTCGTAATGTGTACGAGAAAATTGCTGATGGCAAAATGAGAAGCAATGTACATTCATTCATTTCATATTGGTTCATATAAAGCATGTATGTATACACTTATGAGAGACAAGGCAAACAAATAAATAGAAAATAAAGTTTGCCACTTGTATAATAATAAAGAATTCAACTAGGCGCATTTTCCTTGCAACAAACGTTGCTATGTGACCAGGCAATGATAGGATCTAAAATTTAAAATCTTGTGAAGTAGGTGATCCTCACTCGAATAGCTAAAGTCGGCTACATGAAGTCATTGACCATTAATTTCTTTATTTCATTTGAAAAAACTGATTTCAAGGTATTAAGTTCCAAAAACTTGTCTGATCTACTACCCTACTACCCTACTTCATTAAAAACTATAGCACACTTATTATAAATAAAATAAAATTTTCAAATCAGTCATGCACCTTCAAGTCAAAGAGATACTCTGTCATCAACAGTATCATTGAATGCAAACTCTTTGATCAGGTAAGAGCCAATTAAATCAAGCATTGCCATCAAAATCAACATTTCTACAAAGAAAATGTGCTAAAAAAGGCATGCAATATCCGTAAGCATTTATATGTGAGTCGATACGTTAGCGATTGTAATGTTCAATCGGGTAATTTGGTACCAATCTGTTTCAGTAACAACGTTCTACAAATTACAAATCCTTTAAAGTATGTACGTAAGAAGCCCGTCATATGTGCTGTCGATCATTGTAATATGAGAAGTCGTATTCTTGATAAATCAAACATATATAAACACACAGTTGCTGTTCTTTTCAGAGAAATATTACGTGCGTGTTTGTGATGGATGTGTACTCTATCCTTTTTTCCAGCTCTATACTCACTCGATGCAATCGATTTTTACGTGCCTTTCTCGATTTGTGAAGCTTTTTTTTCTCACATTTCTCAAATAAAAACATATATATGAGCATATACGTCACTAAATGTAGGTTTTACTTCTCTGTCGTTTATACATATTATGTAGAATATGTAATGTAAGCTTTATTATTGAAAATATTCGTTTTGTATATGAATTGCAGAATTTCTTTTTTTTTCATTCATGTGTACACATAAAAACATGGGATAATAAGAACATATATACCGATATATCATTATTACAACTTTTCCTCCTCACTCTCTTTTTTATGTTTGTTCCAACTTTCAATTCATAAAGTATTCAAATCTATGCTGCATTTTGTCTTTTTTTTGAAAATCTTTAAAAACGAGTTAAGTGTCAAAGACGATCTTGTGCTCAGATTGATCTACTCTGAAGACCTAAAGGTCAGCATATACACCGAACAAATATGCAGAGCTCAATATCGACTTCAAGCTTTCATAATCATTCACGATTCATAGGAATATTCATACGTTAGAACTTCTTCCTTATTGCTCAGTACTGAATAATAAAATCCTGTTTTCAAAAAAGAAAGGCTTTGGAAGATTATAGAGATAAAGGATTATAGATCAGACTTTAATATAGCATACTGTTGAATGATTTTTCAACAATTTTATTAATATGAAAAATAATCCAAATAAGCTTTGAGTCTTTGTTGAAATTTGTAAAGTTGTTGTCAAAAAAAATTAAAATTAAGTTGAATCTTTGCAAAGCTGTGATTGCAAATCAACAAAAAGCTGGTGAAGAAGCCTCAGATCCCTTAAAGTTATTACTATTTTCATGAAAAGGAGGTGACATAATGTTGATTAATTCATCATTAAGCTTAGATTGATTACCGTGAGTAAGTTTTGATTTATTATTTGATTATTAAATATCAATTCAAATGCGCTCAATTCAAATAATTAATTTAATTTAATTTTTATATTTCCAATTAAACTTTTCCTACTCATTAAAACTGGCGCAAAAGCTCAAATAAATCTCTCTTTAAATTTATTTTCATCTGTATTAGAGAAACAAAAAAGAGAAATTTAAAATTTTAATGAACTTTATATTTGCATGTTTTGAGACTTATAGCTTTATAATTGCTGTTTTGTTCTATAGAATAATCAAATTTGTTATGCATGTTATGTAATTTTAAAATAAATTCCTTTTGTCTGTGCATATGTATATAAAGCTTTCATTTGTGCATGGATCGAACTTATGCATCAATTTATTGAATGTCATTGTAGAATATTTTTAAAATTGTAGGTCAATAAGTTTGATCTTTGGATTAGGGTTTCAAAAAAATTGATATTGAATCTCTGGAACTTCTTATCAGTTCTGGTTTCTATAGCTAGTTTCTATATTGGCCTTAATAAATTGTTTACTAGACTCATTTGAAGCCGTCTGAATCAAATCTACCGAATTCTAGCTTCAAATCTTTATTTTGAGCATCAATATTTGTGTACGGTTCTTAAGTAGCCCTATTCTCTGATTCTCTCTCTTTGTATTTTTAAAATTAATTCAATTTCTACAAAGTCTCTCTGATAGAGATAAAAATTTATTTACTGTATCAGTACTTCGCCTGTGACACATCTAGAAAGTTTATTTTGATTTGTGTCTTTTGGTCTTCTTGAATTTAATTATGGTATCTGTTGGTGAATTAAGCTTGAGGAATACACTTTTAGGATTTGTGGGTGTGCATAGTGATATCTTGCATGTCAAAAGTCACAATATTTTATTACGTGACGACGAGGAATTTAGAAATGATAAAAAATCTGTATTAATTATCAGTGGAGGTCAGTTTGCTACTTTGTATGTTGCTCTAGATCTGATCTAGACTAAGAGAATCAATAATTTCAGGCGGTTCTGGTCATGAACCATTTCCTGTCGGATTCGTTGGCAAAGGTATGCTCTCAGCAGCAATATGTGGGGAAATATTTACGTCACCATCGGTCACCAGGTAGAGATATACATAAAAGTGCACTTTTCATATGCCAAAAAATAATTTAATTGATTAATTTCGCTCAGTTGCCTCGCATCAATTCTGCTATCGTCACAAAATGATCCGAGCCGTGAGATTTTAATGGTCATTAATAATTATACTGGAGATAGATTGAATTTCGGATTGGCTATAGAAATGGCGAGAAATATACACAAGTATGAAAACATAAAATCAATTATCATTGATGACGACTGTGCGATTGATAATCCACGAAATTCGACAGGCAGACGTGGATTGACGGCCATAAATCTCATAATGAAAATAGCAGGCGCAATGAGTGCCAAAGGCTTTCCTCTAACTGATATCCACGAACAATGCTCATCGATACTTAACAATCGAATGATTCGAACAATTGGTTTCACATTTCAACACAATCGAAATGAATTAAATCAAATAGATATTGGATATGGTATCCATGGTGAAGCTGGTGCTTTAAAATTAGACAATACGAAATGCTTTAAAACCATAATTGGAATTTTGAAGCAGAAATTAAAGATTGATGAAATTAAATCGGATATCATTGTGTTATTCAATAACCTCGGCGGTGCTTCCGAATTTATATTTTATAATTTCATCAAAGACTTTATGGATTCAATTAATGGCAACTCATTTAATGTAATCAAAATTTATGCTGGAAAGTTTTTAACATCACTTGGCAAAGAGGGTATCGGTGTATCAATCATGGAAATCAAGGACAATTCGATTATTGAATTACTTGAACATCCGACAGAGACAGCATCGAAATATTTATTTAATATCCCACTCAGTTACTCGCATAGTACACGTGAAATGGATTTTGAAGTTTCAAAAGTAGATGAGTGTCCAAATCACGAGGATATGATAGAAAATGTCAAAATGAATGAAATTGAAATTATGAAAAAAGTTTTAATGAAAATTTGTCATGATATAAATGACGCAAGAAGTGACCTTAATCTCATGGATAAAGAATTGGGCGATTCTGATACGGGAGATACATTGTCACGTGGTGCCTGTGCGATTCTTAGAGAATTATCAAAGAATAATTTAAATGCTGGCAATCCACACAAATTTCTCATTACTCTTAGTGATATTTTAATGAGATCCATGGGTGGCAGTTCCGGTGCTATTTTTTCAATTTTCTTTCAATGTGCTTCTATTGCATTTCGTGATTGCAATAAATACTGCATTACTAATTGGCTTCAAGCATTATCGAATGGAATTGATGGAATAATGCGGTATGGTAAAGCAGAAATTGGCGATAGAACTTTACTCGATTCCCTTTGTGTTGGATATAATGAGATGAAAATTACTTTTAATGACGGAAATTCCCTCGAAGCGGTTCAAGCTTTTACAAAAGGATGTCAAATTGGATGTGACAAAACAAAGAACATGTTTCCAAAAAGTGGTAGATGTGCTTACGCATATGCTGATAAAGATTCTGATTTCAAATTTAGTAGCAAATTTCCTGATTCCGGCGCGTACGTTATTTCAATAATTTCAAATGGAATTCTTCACGTGCTACAAGGGCTTGAATAATGTTTGCGAATGTTTCAGCTTCTCTTCTTATTCTAGCGTTTTTTTGCACAGCTTATAACTTCTGTATTGCTTTATGCTTAAATTCATAGTCTTAGCGAGTGATTGTTCATTGTTACAACAATTTGAATGCTCAATTTGCAACATGAGACCTGCTTTATGTTTACACAACAGAATAAATTTTATTTCTAAACTTACCGGAGAAATTCTTAAGCTCAATGACACTCCTTGATATGTCAATAACTGTACTCAAATAAAAGTTATTAATCAAATAATATTGACTTAAATATGAATTAAATGATAAAACAAAAATATAAATTCACAAAATTCACGTTCTTCGGCAAAGACAAACTAAACATTACTGAACTCTTTTTCTTTGCTTTGCTTATTTACCTTAATGTGGACATATTTTAAAAAAGCTGAAAAAAATAATTTGCATACAAATTTATGGATAATTCTGAGTCCAAGTGTTCTCTCACTAAATCTGTTTCCAAAAACAGCCAAATACGTCTTGAAAACTAGATCTTATCCAGAGTTGCTTTAAAGGAATGTTTATTATTGTATCTCATTTAGACTGATTTATGGTCAATTAATGCATTTATAATCTTTCAAGCACTTTAATCAATTGTACGGTTTAAAAATCAAAGCAAATATTGATTTTAGTAATCAGTTTCTATCAAAGGTTGTCTCTTCCATATCAGTTCATACTAATTGTTGGCTGATATCATTCAATTACTTTTATCACTAATACAAATACAATCTTTAAAAACTGATATTAAAACATTAGGAAATTTTCTTTGTCACAAAAGAAATTTTTATTGATTTTGGTTTAGGTCTTCAAAATAAAGTAAATACAGCATATTAATATAATTTTTCAAATCTTCAAAGAAAAAATTAGTTTTTCAAGTCTTTAATCCTACAAAATTTAAACTTCAGATTGTTGATAAATGTTTTAAAATCTCTCCTTATCATCAAATTGTCTTAATGCAATTTTTCTCATGTCATTTCTTTAAGCAGATCCTTTTGCCATGTAATCATCGAGTTGCTTATCCAATTGCTCCTTCGAAACTTGTGGACGACCTAAAATAAAATGAATTTTTGTTAACAAATAAACTTGATTGAAATTGAAATGAATTTCGATTTTTTTAAGTAATTGATTTCCATTTATCCAGCATCATCCATTCATTTGGTCGGTGCAGCAATCGAATGATAAATATTAAATAATTTGTAAAATACCTAAATTCCCTCTTTAAGTTGAAGACTTAAAGTAAGTGTAATACTAAGATGATGAAGCGGAGAATGATGTTATACAGCAAGATTTTCATTCCTTACAATATCAAACAAGATCCTTTTTTTTCTAAATGATGGAATGGGATCAAAAAGAATAGTTTTTTTTTCCTATAATGCTCCAAAAAGAAGAGCTTTTAGGAAAATTGGCAAAAAATCGATTGGGTCTTCGCGTTCAGCTATTGATTGTGTTTTCTTTTTATATGCTTATTCATCTTTCCGTTCAGTTCTTATTTGTTACTGAGAGGCATGAAAAAGTTTATTTGGGACTAAACTTCTTTCTTTCTAGCGCATTTTTTTTTCATTATGTCAAGCTTTTATTAGCCGGCTTATTATTTTTCCACCAGCTACGCTTATTCTCTTTCCAACAATTTCAATTCAGTACAATTTAAGCACAAATATGTGGCTTGACAATATATCCCATTATTATCTTTGAGGATCAAGCGTTTTACTGATTACCTCTAGTTGCACGTCTAGTACGTGATCTACCACGACGTGACTGCTGTTGTTGTTGTTGCTGACGTCCTCTTTGATTGCCATTTCTCTGTCCACCTCGATTTCTAGCTCCTCCACGAGCTTGTCCATTATTATTGCCTCTAGTTATTGAAAGATCGAAGAGAAAAATGTATTTTGTGAATTAAATTAATAACAAGAACTCTATGTTATATGATGTAAAAGCATAAGTTAGGTCCTATGAGACGATATATTTTTTTTTTCTCAATCTATCAATCGAGTAGTACAATCTTTTCATGGTCTATTAGGGTCTCAAATTAGCTATCCTCATTATTCTTTTATCTCAAGAATGTTTAAACACAATCAATTTTTTATGATATCCACCTTTGCAACTTCTTTACGTTTCGAGCAGCTACATTTCTGACTTGTTGTGTATTTGTCCCAGTTTTGCGATTAATTCTTCGCTTAACAATGCGACCTGTCAATGGTCGATTATTTTGATTTCTGTTGTTATTTGCATTATTGTTAGTGAAGTTATTTCGTTGATTGACATTATTATTCATATTATTGCGTGATCTTGATCGCGAACGGAAACGATTTTGTTGAACTTGCTGTTGAGGTCCATTATTTCCCAAGCGATTATTAACTGAATTTGAGCGTCTTACAGGAGTGGTATTGTTATTTCTGAAGTTATTACGATTTAAGCGTTTTCGGCTACGACTGCGTGATCTTTGCTGCTGTTGATTATTATTGTTGTTGTTAAAAGTTTTATTAGCTTGCATTCCCCCACGACGGAATTGACGTGGCTGGCGATTTCCCAATCGATCATGTATGGATCCAGAATTGAAATTGTTATTTTGATTTTGCATTCTGCGACCTGTCAATGGTCGATTATTTTGATTTCTGTTGTTATTTGCATTATTATTTGTGAAGTTATTTCGACGATTGACATTATTCATATTATTACGTGAACGGCTGCGTGAACGACTTCTGCCTTGACGTAATCGACTAGGTGCATCATTTAGCCTATCAATTTGAAGATTAGCTATTATTATGTTTTTTCTTCATATATTTTTTTTTAATGATTCAGGACAAATACAAATGTATACAACTTACGGTATAAAGCGAGTCAAACTGTTCGAACGTCTCAATCTTTGTGCATTTAAGGCTTGTTTGATGACGGCAGCACGTTTGAAGTTGTTTCTTGTTTTAAGTGTCTGTGTACGTCCACGACTTGACATCAAACTTTTCTGTAATCGTGCAAATCATGAGTAATCTAGTGATTAAAGGTCAAAAACAGTGCTTACATTTTTCAACTTAAGCGCCATTCGTAATTTATGTTGTCTTTCGAGCTTGTTAAGCAACATTTGATTTTGTCGGGATCCTCTTAAATCCACTTGTGACTTAGGTCCACCTCTGTTTCTGCTTCTCGAACGAGAACGTCCTCTTTGCTCCGGAATCGAAGTGTTTGAGGGTTGTTTTTTAATCATCGAGAAACGATCATTTAATGTGATCGCGGTTGTTGTAGCATTCATGTTAATCATATGGATTGTTTATTCAAGTGTTTTGTTTCCAAAGAAATATTTACTAATACAATTGAACTAATTGTATTTGCTTAAAATACTAAAAGAAAATGTATCATGTTAAAATCATTAAAAATAGCCCAAATTTATGTCAGGAAGTGAAAATAACTTGGAGATTATTGCTTTAAAGCTATTGAGAATGACTAATAATCTATTTTTAGGACTTAAATTTATGGTTTAAGAATGCAGATTCGCAAATGTCTGAAATCATTGAAAAATTGAATATTTTCGACTCACCTCAATTTGTATTTGATATATTTCACAAGTTTAAAGCTTTATATATACTTTAAACTCAATAAATGGTTAAATTGATGCAGAATAGTAGATTAATTAATGAATTAAAATTTACAATGCTTCTTATTATTTTTTTCTTCAGCTACGCTTTACATAAAAGCTGTGCGTCACAAATAACGCTCAGCTTTAAAAGGCCCGAGCTAGTCACCACTTAAACAGCCATTCCATAATAAAAAGGCATCAACAAAGATCCCATGTATCACATTATTGCTAATTCTTGACAGTCACGAATAGTTTTAGAAAATTTATCATAGTGTGACTATAAAAAGTCGTGTGTAGTTCGGGTGTATTTATATTCGTAGGCAAAATTTGGACTCATCGATTTTTAGTTTAATTAATTAATAAAGGATGAGAAATATAGTTCCAGACTGTATCATTATGTGAGTAGAATTAGTATCCGTTGGAAGCGACTCAATTACCATCGAGTTTCTCTTTCAGTTCCATAATAATTGGCACATTCTTAATCATTTACTTCATAATAAACATATTTTATGAGTTTCTGGCTGGCGAAAATAATCAAAACTTAACATTATCTCAATTAACGGAAGGAGTATCTAAAGAGTACACTTGGGCATTAAGATTAACAATAAATTGTATAGGATATTCAGGTATTTCAACTTTAATTCATTTTTTATTTGTTATATCCGTTATATCAAAATTTTCTTAATTATAGCACTAATAGTCCCTGGATTTCTAATATATCAGTACGTGAAAAGAGTTCATTATCTTGATAGATCAGGTAAATACGTCAACAGTGCTTAAATTTCTTAGCATGCAAAAATAATCCTTGTTTGATTCAATTCCAATAAGAATCAAATCTATTGGGTAAGGCACTGATCAAGTCATTTATCATTACAGAGAAAACCTTCCTATCCTCAATAGTCAAAGCATGTTTCGGCGAGAATGAAAAGTATGATTTACTTCAATCATCATCAGCATCCAAATCCGTGAATAAGGCATTAGTAAGAGAATGTGTGCTACTTTCTTATTGCTTTGTTGGCTTAATGGGAAGTTATTTAACATGGGGAGTGTTACAAGAAAAAATAATGACCAGAGAATATATCGATGAAAATGGAAAGAAGTCATTTTTCAAAGATTCACAATTTCTCGTCTTTTCAAATCGATTGCTAGCATTTTGTATAGCTATTAGCTATTTGTACTTAAAACAACAGACACGACATCGTGCTCCATTATTCAAATATTCCTATGCTTCATTCTCAAATGTGCTCAGCGCATGGCTCCAATATGAAGCACTCAAATTTATTAGCTTTCCAACACAGGTGCTGGCGAAATCATGCAAATTAGTGCCCGTGATGATTATGGTAATTTTCTATTAATCAATGTTTCACGGTCTTTAATTCATTTGATAGTCGCGAATTAAAATTTTTGTTGCACAATTTTTGTTTTAGGGAAAAGTCGTATCGAGGAACAAATATGAATTTTATGAATATGTTGTTGCCATTGGAATCTCAACAGGAATGATACTTTTTTTAAGTGGAAGTTATGATCAGAGCAAGCACACCCCATCCACTACAATTACAGGAATGTTCCTGCTAGTCCTTTACATGATCTTTGACAGCTTTACCTCGAATTGGCAGAGTGAGATCTTCAAAACTTATGGAATTACGAGTATTCAAATGATGTGTGGGGTTAATCTATTCAGTTCAATGTTTACAGCAGCTTCGTTACTCGTTCAAGGTGGTTTTTCTGAAGGAATCTCATTCGCCTCAGAGCATCCAAAATTTTTAATTGATTGTGTCATATTGTCAATAAGTTCAGCAGTAGGACAGCTTTTTATCTTTTATACCATTGCGAAATTTGGAGCTATTGTATTTACCATCATTATGACATTACGTCAAGCTATCGCAATTTTATTATCATGCCTCATCTATCAACATCAAATTTCAGCGCTTGGAATTTTCGGAATAATTGTTGTATTCGCTGCTGTCTTTTTGCGCGTTTATTGCTCACATCGAATTAAAATTCTAAGAAGAAAGCATGAACTACTCAAACAGCGCCTACATGTTTAAAAATTGAGGATGGTCTAATAATGTGATTAATACGCTTTTGTATTATATATTTTCTGCTTTTCACTTTAGTTCTCATAGTTTAGTCTTAATTTGACTTAATTAGTTTTTATTATTTTAATTATCGACTCGCAATACTTCATGACCTTATTACGTATGATAAAGATTATGTCCGTATGTGCATATGAAGAGCTGTAAGAAGAAAAGGAATAGGTAAATTCATTTTCATTCATCGACCCAAAAAAAAAAAAACAATTCCTAGTGCCCTTTCTAAGTATAGCTTATAACTACTACTAGAACCATAAAAATTCTTTAAAATTTTAAAACATTTTTAAGGCTTTTCTTGATATTGGCAATTGTATGGTTTTCAATTTTTCATAGCATTCAACACATAAAAATTTGAGGCTTTAAGCTACAACCAAAGCTATTACTAAGCAGAAGTGCTAAAATTTCATCGTAATTCACAAATCTCAATGGGGCTTTAAATAAACTCCCCAATTTATATCCTTTAGACTTAACAGATTACTTTCATATGGACATACGAATATGAAACAATTTAATTACCAACAAGAATGAAAAGTTCAAAATAAGATGAGACACACAAGGATTATGCAGCATGATAAGCATAAATTATCGATCTTTTTACCAAATTAAAAATAAATTATATTATATATGTCTATACAAGCCAGATATATCAAATATATTCTGAAAGAAAAAAAAACAAACAATTAAAAAGGCATTTTACTAAATTCGAGGTGGTATCAAACGTGGGTTCCTTTTTTATTTATCGTCATTAATAATTCATGACTATAATTATTGTAACATTCAAACAAACAAACATTTAATGATCAACACAAAGGGTGCAAAAAAAACTAGAAAAAGGTTTTCTTTAATATCATTAAAAAATGAGAAACTTTTCATTGCTTAAAATGAGTAGTCATAGTTGAATTTTCTTTAAAAAATCATTTAAATTTTCCTTCCTTCTATTTCTATTTTTATAAATTTACGCATTAAATATGAGTATAGTTTCATTAAAGCGGATTAGCATTCATCTCAAGTGGCTTCCTCGAGTTACTTGGTTCACAATTTATTGATTTCTGTGTCTGCGACCTCAAAATTTATCACTGAACTATACACATCCTTTGTTTTGTGCTGCAAAACCTTACAAATGTTTGGAAGATATGATTGGAATTGTACGGTTCATTCTGAGTCACGTGCGTATCTAATAGGATTTTCAGATGAATGAACAAACCACGTTTAATGGATTCCCGGATACAACTTTAAATGAATCTATATAGCACTTGATACACATGTCACACAAACTCGCCACTTGAAATCAATCCTAATCTATCTTCGATCCACTTCTTTGGTTCTTTCTTCAACAACCATCTTTTGATGACTAGAAAAGTATATTTTGGTTCCGAAAAATAGATATTTGTCATAATAATAAAATTGCATCTAATCGCGTTTATGATTTAAATATTAATCATATGTCGGCTGCTTACAAAGACTAAATAAAAATAATGTTGCAAATACAAGTTCGGTGAGTTGTAAAAGGAGCATTAAAGCGCACAGTATGTATTCGAGTTTTAAGACATGTGATTGCTTCCATAATAAAAATATAACTCCTGCTGCACAAGGAATTGTGACAAAAACACTCAATATGACTTGCCAGCCGTGATCAGACAAACTGCCTTTCTTCCCAAGATGTATACGAATTGATTCTAAAAGGCACAGACCAAGCAATACACACGTTTCACGTAAAAGTTTACCATCTTCATAGTTCAAATTTATAGCTTTAAGTGTTCCCATGCCTATCGAGAGAGAGAGAGAAAAATATACGTACAAAAAAGAATATGGAAATTTTTTCCAAGTAAATAGCTAATTAATTACCGATTTCGCATGTTGCAAACATCCCAAAATAAAAGCTGTTTAAATACATTAGAATTTCGTAGGTGAGAGATGAGTTTACCATCCTTTTATGTGCTTCTCTTAAACTCTAACTTGTATTTTTGTTCCTTAAAGCTCGACTAGAATTAAATTCCTTTCTCTTAAATTAATATTAATTGGTTTGAGTGGTCCGGTCCGTTGATTTATTAGATCTGAAAGTGCATCAGCAAATAAAAAGCGACTTTAAGACTTCAAAATAAATTGTTTATATTTTGTTTCCATAGCAATTTCAATTAAACAAAAGGCACATTGCAGATTATCAAGTTTTAATGGATCTCACTATTGTTGTGCCTGTATGATGAAAAGCTATATTTAGAATTTTAGATCCAGATTTTACATGTAGAAAAATGTTTGGGAAAATGATAGCAACATAATTTATGGTGCAACATGACTATTTATGCTGTTTCATCTAAATTCTTAATTGTCTCGCCGAGATCATGTCGCGAAAATAGAAAATTTAAGGATAAAAAGAAAATTTATTGGGAAAATTTTACCTTCATCATTAAAACATTAACAATTTCACTTAATAAGATAATATTGGCAGCTTTTTGATTTTATATCAATTCACAGACAACAGTTCTAACATCCAGTAATGTCTATAATCACGTCTAAGTACGTTTAAACACAAAATTTTAAATAAAGTAACTTTTCTACACAACTTTTTCAAAATAAATTCTGAGCGGGGTCCATTGCTTCAATTACTCAATTTTTATCGATTAAAGCTCAATAAACCTAGATTAGAGGTTTGGGGGTGGAATGTAATAATTTTTAACAAGTGTTCTGTCTCTGGTAGGTTTGGTAATTGCTCCTGAATTTCTGTTTATAAAAATTTAAAGAAAAACTGTGAAATTAAAATTCTAGACCCCCAAAATAAAAGAGGGTTCAACTTCATGTCATATCCAGTAACGACTTTATGAAATTCAAACTTTTTCAGTGCTCTTTGAAATTGTAAACATTGCTTTAAATACGAAAATCAATTAAACTGGACCGACTAGAAAGTTAATTCATCAATCAATCAACTTACAACAAAAGATAGCACCAGATGAGCGAAGCAGACGACATACAGTACTCGGAAAAGTATTCAGATTCCACTTATGAATACCGGTGAGTTTTTTCACTCAGTTTTTCTTAAAAATCATTAATAACAGTGAGTCTCATAAGATTCTTATTATGAATTGACTTATAAAAATATCTACTAAACAATGACTGTAATGCAAGAAACGTATTTATTCCAATAAAATTATTAATTATTGATCTTTCAGGCACGTAATTTTGCCGCCAGGATTGTCTCGATTAGTTCCAAGAAATCATCTAATGACAGAAACAGAATGGAGAAACCTGGGAATACAGCAATCGCCGGGATGGGAACATTACCTTATTACCAACGAGTATCATGTCATATGTTTTCGAAAATTAAAAACATAAAATCAGCTGAAAATTTGTTTGAACAGAGTATAAATAATTGATAAGATCTTTAATTGATATTTTTAAAAATAAGCTACGCTTATAATTTATTTAAATAAATATATTTTTTCGTATTTTGTCATGTTTTAATAATTTTGGTACTTTTATCGTTGAACCAACTCAACGTTTGTTATTTCCCTGTCAGAAATTCCTTATTGCAGCATATTCCTCACATCACTTTACTTGTCTCATGCGCATCACCTGTTGAATGTAGAAAAGTGCATTAGTAACATTATTGGATAAATAATTGAATTAAAGATGCTAATTAGAAGTTTAATCAGCATTAATTACTATCATTCATAGAATATCTTCAGACGGGAAAAGAAGACAATGTTATAATAAGTATCATCATGAATGTCTAGCATATGTGTTTCACATTCCATTTCGTTTCAAAACTTACCTAAATTGACATCACTTTTTTTTTGTTGAAAACAGTAGAAAAGTTTCTTCCTCTGTAAATAGAATTAATGGATATTGTAAGTTACATCTGCAAAGTTTTAATGCATTGAGTTTTATTGACTGAAGTTTATCAGAACTTATAAAAATAAGCAGCCGAGGGTTATTATCATACTTCTAATGAAATCAAACGGTAATTTTTATCATCACATTAAAGACTGCTTTTAATTATGTCCATAATAATCTTAGTGACTTACATTTTTCTTATTAATCCATAGATTCATTTTTATCGTGTCCTAGAATGAGAAAAGTTTATTAGTAAAGTATGACTTTAGTTTGCAGTATAAAAGAAATAAGTTGAAAAGTCAGTACATTTTTAAATAAAAATGCAGCCGAAGGGTTATTATCATTACTTAACATCAAGCGGTAATTATTATCATCATTATAGGTACTAAATACATTTAAAGGATGTAGAAACTCACAAGTGATTTTTTGCAGAAATATGCCCTTCATAATTGTAGTATTTGTTTCCGATATCACAGCTTAATACAATTTATACAGTCTTTTAACTTTAGGCAGTGATCTATAAAGACAAAAATGAAAAACTTTGTTAAAAACATGTGTGGAACTAATGTCTATATAAGACACTGTTTATTTGAAGTTGTCAGACAAAAAGAGATGGTTCTTTAATCAATAAAAAATTCATAAACACGGACCAATGTTATCATCATAAAAGTATAATAAAGCCTTATTAATTTAAATTGATTCCTTACCTTGTTTTTTCATTCAAAGAAATTTTCTGCAAAGAGCCTCAACAAAACATCTGTAATGTAATGGAAAGAAGCATTAATTAACGATTTCAATTAAATAAATTAATGATGACGGTATGAAGGAGAATCAGACAAAAAGTAATTGGAAATATAATCAAATAATTTCATAAACACGGACCAATGTTGTCATCATTAATAAAGCACTAATATAATTTAATGTGTATTGACAGACACTCACCTTCATCGTTCCTTAATTTGGTCAGTATTTTGTGATTTTCAGAAATCTGTTGGACATAAAAGGAACAATCAGTAAATGGAAAATAGAATTTGCAACCAAAAAAAAAGTAAGTGTTCCTAAATTTTGGGCGTTCCATGAAGCAATTGAGATGCTTGTCAGGAATTTCCTATATAACTTAGAAAACATACTGTTCCCCTGATTTTAAAACTGGCACTCCAGAGATGCAGAATTCATGTGACACTGAGGAGCGTGGCTGCGGGGACCATTCATTAAGTAAGTGAAAAAGAATTCCAAGAAAATTCCAAGGCTTGAACCTTCGACCTCTTCATCGTAAAATTTTTGTGGACAATGACGAGTTTCCATTGAACCAACTAGACTGAATATTTCATTTTTTACATACTGACAAAGTATCAATATGGTACTTACATTAAAATTCCATGCAGTTTGTTGCTCCTTAATTACATATTTTTGGACATTAATCTAAAAGTCTAGAAAGAAATACGTTAAAAAAAAGCATTAAGTCATACTGCTCAATAACTCCGAAAAAATAATTTTCAAAAAAAGTGAATGTATCAAGGTTTTTCGGCATTTCTCGTCTCGTGGGGTTTATTTTTCGAGCAAGAAATTTCCTATATACCAAGACTAGTAGCTTTTAATCGCACATAATTTGCCCTATTCCATTATGGCTGGCACCAGATTAAATAGAAAAAGTTCAGTTTGCATTAATCTTAGTGTGATCCTAAGGGCACCTCCGCTTCAGACGAGGATTGAACCGAGGATAGCAGAAATGGAAAATTTCACTTCTGTTTAACCGTTTAGTCCATCAACGTCCTTTTATTGATATTTAAGTTATGAACAAACTCACCTCTTAAGTCATGAGCAAGCTAATTTTTTCTAATATCACATTTGGAGAACGTTAAATTCACATTGCATTCATTCAACTAGCCATTCCTATAACGTGCTTTTGGTGGTCGTTGATTCATATATGGACGATAATACTGTAAGATTTTTTTATAGAAAAATTACTATTAGTGATAATTCTATTGATTATAAGACATTTTTGTACAAGTCAAAAAACTTTCTATAGAATTTCAATTTTAAACAGTATGCTGCAGTATATTTGCAAGCAATCCTGTATGATTCAATTCCGAATGATTTCTTTAAAAAAATATACTATCAAAAAATTTATGTACTTTCTTGTAGACATTTTAATTTGTTCATAAAATATATCTTGAGAATTATTGGCATTAGAGAAACTTAGTATGATGTACAGTACAATATGACTTATTTTCATGAGAATATGTAGCGTTTCATGGCTGATAAGAGATGAATTTGAAATATTTTTGCCGTCCGAAGTGTTTAGAGGACAAAAAAATTTCTGCTTCAGTTTTCAAGAATTGCCAAGTGAGTGCTACAAAAAATAGAGAATTGAGAGAACTAAGTTGGTTTAAACAATTTCAAGAAGTAAGTCTTGACTTAGTGACATTTTTCTTGTTCATAGCAACAAAAAAAAATAAGTAGGTAAGTAAGTATAAAGCCATTAAGTACATAAAACAATTCAAAATAATCATAAAAAAGAATTTCTGTTTTTTCAGAGTGATTTTTTTTTTGTCATCCTTACCTCTTACCATTTTTATCTTTGTATCATGATAATAGATTTTCAGAATCAGTTATTTGATTAATTCAAATTCAGCTATGATGATTAGCATAAAGATGCACAGTGTTTTTAGATTGGCCTTCAGAGAATTCATGATGAGTTTTTTAACATTTATTTTTTTTCTTACCCAATTCCCCAAAATGTTTAGCAATCAATCAATTCAGTTAACAATGAATTTAAATTGTTTTTCGATGTCCACAATGCAATAATTTGATTTCTTCAACGCAAATATCCTTAAAATTCAAATTTCCTATTTATGGTGCTTACAATGTAATACGCAAAAAGATTTTATCGTCTAGTCTTTTGTATCAAGACTTCAGCAACGAAATTATAGACTATGTAAACTAGTCAGTTGATGATGTTTAGGATAGCATGAAGTTGCTTTTAATCAGGTTGTGTCCTTTAATTTTAGTCCATTACTTGCCAAGAATGGAGAATTAGTAAATCGTATTTTCGATGAAAATTCAAATTGGAACAAATACAATTGAGGTTCACTGTCTTTATTTCTTTTAAGAGATACTTATAAACTAGTCAAATTAATACTTTTTAGAACAAGGCAGAATTCCCAGCATTCAGGTTAAATTGACATTCGTAGATTTTAATACATTTATGTCATTTATACTCCATAATAATTTAACCATTTCCCTTAAACTTTAAAGAATTAGAACAAGTTTGCTGTTAGTCTAAAATAAGACTTTTTCTTTTTTTTTGCACCAGACAATAAATAAGCTTTTGTTGCGAAAAAAATTGGGCACTGAATTGTATCCATAAAAAATTGCCAACTATACAGTTATTTTTTGACGACAGACAGTTCCATTTTGATATCACTATTATTTCTTCATGATATTCATTGTTCCAAAAGTTCACTAGAAACAAACATATTACTAATTATCAGTATAGCTGAAAGCTATATATAATGCTGACTGATTTGTATCTGATTAAGGTTGATAAATTCTTAAAGAATTCTACTTTCAAAAAAGTTATTAGTTTTTGGCTTATCACGAAGAACAAGTTGGTTAAGACAGCACAGAGTTGCACAAAAATGAGTAACAGAACACACTATCAGAAGCTTTTGATTAAAAGTTCCGAGAATGTATTTTAAAATTCACTAAAACAGTAATTGATCTTAGATTAGGAGTAAAGTTTAAATCTAATCAAAATGAGGTTTTAAATTGTACGCATGTTTTTAAAACAGAACGAAATAAAAGTGATTTTTTAAAGGACTACCAAAATTCCAATAATTGAGAGTTAACTTTTACTCCTGATCAAGACTAATGTCCAAAAAAATATTATCACACATCATCCACGCGAACTTTCACCCAAAAATATTTTCACAACAGGCTCATTCATTCAATTTACTAGAATGGAAATAGAAAGTATGTTTTTTTGTATGTTTAAGGAGTGATATTTTTAATGAATCATATATTTTAAGCATATATATTATTATCATCAATACATTTATCAATCAAAAGCAATGAGTAGATTAAAAGTAGTATGAATATTCCTTATTACACTAGAAAAAGAAATGAATTAAAAATAATAAATTGTTTTTTTACGGATTTTAAGATCCTTGAGAGGTCAAAGAAACACTAAATTAGCTAATTCTTATATAATAATTACTTGAAATTATAAATTTCTTTCTAAATATGATAAAACTCTTTTCATATAAAAAAAATTGCAGACAATAAAATCCATATAAGTGGGTTGAATTCTAGAACGGTCTCGCAAAACACTTTAAGTCTTATTAGCTACACAATAATTGTGGATGAATTAGTTGTTAGATATATTCTTCTTTATCTGTTTGTGATTTGTAGATTTATTGAAATCTTAATTTTCAATTAATTTGAGTGATAAAAAAAAATGTTTAAAATTCTCTTTTTAATAACGTCTTCGCTTATTTTGGAACTCATCACGATGACCACGGTCATTATTATTCCATGGACGAACATTTCCTCGTTGTTGTGGACCGTCGAAACGATTTCCTTGCTCCTATATTTTTTTCAATCAATCATTTATCGTTTTATAAGTTTTTTCAGAGTGATTTGATATTTGATTTATAGTTGTTGAGTTTCGTAAAACAGTAAATAGTTTTCGAAATTTTTATCAGTTTTTAGTTTTTATAAATATGGAAAATGAGAAGTGGTAAAAAATAATTTTATCAGTTAATCATGTTTGCTAGGTTAGATATACGTTAAAGAATAAAAAAAATATTTTAATAATTTAATTTTTGACTACAAGTTCAGATCATTTCGACAATATTACACATTATACTGTTGTTGAATATTAAGTTCATAGAAAATTAATCGGATCGATTTCGTAAATGAGATGTTTTCGTGTCATTTTGAATGTCAATTGCATGTCGTTCGCCAGTATTTTGTCAGAGAATAGTTGTAGTAATTGTAAGAATAGAATTGTTTAATTTTAAACAAACGTGTTCAAGCTCTTTTTATGCGATAATTTTTCATTTCAACGGAACTGACGACTCCTCATAAACGCACGATATTTCAGATATCATTTGTTCTACACGCAGTTCGCATTACAAGTTTTTGTCTTAAAACCTTGAATTTGAGAGCTACTCTTCCCAATAACAGACTTCTTTATCATATATTTGTCAGAATAACGAATTAGTTGGATTTTGTTTACAAAGTTCATTAGCTTATAGATTAGACAATAATAGTCATTGTAGTTGACATCCTTTGTCAAATGAATTGAATGTTTGTGTATATAATTCACAAAATCCCCAAATTAACCACATATAATACGCAAACGACAATAAAACGTTCAATTTCCAGTCATAGTCGCAGACATCTCATAAAAATCAACAGGTACGATATTTATGCATCAAGTAATTATATAAACTTTTACGATATAAAACAAATTTGACGATTATAAAAATGCGATAAAACTTTTACGATAATTTTCCAATCGATGGATATACGTTTGGCCAGAACGTAAACCATCAATTGTCACATAAAGATTTTATTCGCATGATTATTAAAAAGAAATTTGTTAGTAGAGCAGCTAGAGACATTAGAGACTCATAAGAGTCCAATAAGAGTTTCAGAATTATTGCTTACATATTTTAAGAAGGCTTAATTGACATGCAATCTCATCAAAATTTATTACACAACTCATTACGATCCAGTTTTATATCTTTAAAAGGCTTTGCTTAATCATTGAAAAGGATTCAAATGACACAAGATTAAATTAAATAATTTGAGGATAGTTTTTGGACTTTTTGATGCAGCTACTTAAAATATTAATTGAATTTGAATAGCAAAGAAGATAACTTGAGTAGATTTGCTGCAAGCCCGTGAAATATAATTCTTATAATTGTCGAACTCTAAGGTTTTTATGTAAAATATTTGAAGTTTTCTTTAGAGAACTTAAGAACGTTCCTACCTGATTTCCTTGATAATGCTGATTTCCACCTTGATACTGATTACCTCCGCCATTTCCACCTCCTAATTGTTCAAAATAATAAAATAAATATGTGTTAATTAACCAGAAATTGACCTAGAATTTACTGCTACCTTGGTTCATCATTTCAAAGTTTTGGTTGCGATCATTATTTCTGTCATTATTATAGTTTCTACGACCCCCACCTCCACCTCCTCCTTGATTTCCACCACCCCCACCTCCTTGATTGCTTCCATTTCCACCATTTCCACCGCCTTGATTCATTTCTTGTTGATCCAACATGTTACTTAATTGTTGTGCTTGCATAAATAATGAATTTTCTTGTTGTCTTCGTCTCATTTCCTCGTCTTGTCTTTGCATTCTCATTTGCATATCGTCTTGTTGTCTTCTCATTTGTTGCTCATCACGAACACGACTCTCATCTACATGCCGTTCTCTATCTTCCCATTCTTTCTTCTGCCTTTCACGATCTTGTTCACGTTTTCTCAATTGTTCACGTAATGATTCTGTCTCATGCTCAAATTTAGCATATTCCATTTGTGCTTCAAGCTTCTCTTCTTCCAATTGCATTTCACGTTTAAGAGCATCATGCTTTTGCTTGTACATGTCATACATTTGCTTCCACTTTGTACCAAATTCATGCTCAAAACTGCCTAATTCAGCGAATCTTGGACCATTTTGACGAGCTTTGTAATAATCGTTACTTTTTCGCATCAAAGATTTTTCAGGGAATCCATCAGTTTCATCGATATGATCAAAAGTCTCAACAACACATGGACGTAATGATGATGTCAAGAAAAAGCATTTTTCACTGCAGTATTTGAGAGCAGACATTGCACCTGATTTTCTTGCAAACTCAACAATTCCTTCGCCAGTTGTTTTTCCACGATCATCCACAATAATGACAGCACGCTCAATTTGTCCGAAAACTTCAAATGATTTGAAAAGTAATTCATTTGATACGAATGGAGTAAGATTCTTAACACGAATAGTTGTGGCGTTTGGTGCGAAACGAATACGAATTGGCTTATTTTTACGCATTCTTCCATCAAGATCTTTCTTGGCTCGTTCAGCATTTGCTCGATAATCAATCTTGAGGAATGCAAAGTTCTTCTCAGCATTAATGAAAGCTTCTGCAATCTCACCATAAGGACTGAATAGATCTTTAAGTTCTTCTTCTGTCACATCACTCGTCAAATTACCAATATACAATCGATTGCGCCCAGAAAATTTAATTTCTTCGCACACAAGTTCTGGTAAATCGTGAGTTGGTCCACCCAAATTCTTCAGTTTCGAATTTACAATAAAATCCTAATATTCAAGATACGAGAGAAAAGTTAATTTAGTAACATTACTTTGGACTATTTCGCACAAAATCAAAGTATTACTACTGATTTTTTTTTAAAAAAAAGTAATTTGCAAACAATTTAGTAGCATCAACTTCAAGCCTTTCTTTCTTCTTCTTTACTTGTATCAACTTGTACAAAAAATTGCATGCATAAAAAGAAGAAAATTTAATAAAATCTTTTATTCTTTTTATTCACCTCCGATTTTTTGGCATTCATTCCTCCACCGCCTCGATACTCATTATTCTTAATATGTTCAAATTATCACGATGAAATTTTGAAAAAAATAAACATCATTTTAAAATTGTTATGACATCGAAATTAATTTAAGTTCTAATGTGAGTTTGTGTGTGTGGAAAGTTATTTTAAGAGAATTTTGAGAATCATGGAAACAGGAACAATCGTAAATGATGGCTAATAATTAAATGCACATGATAATAGCAAGCAATAGCAAGTTTTAAAAATATAATGCGCACATTTTCAATAATGGCTTCTCAAAAAAAAAAAAGATCCAGTAGACCGATAAAGATCCAGTTGAGAAAAAAAAATTCGTCTTAATAAATTGGTTGAAATAAATTAAATAAAGCGCAAAATAAGTGAAAAGCAAAATTAGCACTCCTAATTTGAACGAAAAAATATGCTAGAAGCTAATGGAATCAGGTCAGTGACATCATTGACGATTGTTGGATTATTAAAAATGGCGGAACAAACACGCTAAGTGAAAAAATGATAAAACTCATCAATTACCTCATTTTTCATCGGTCCTCGATTACCCATATTGCCTCCTGGACCTCCTTTACCTCCTCTACCACCTTGGAAGTTTCTGTTCATATTCATATTTCGTCTATTTGGACCTCCTGCACCCATATTATTATTCTGATTATTCGGATTTTGGTTCAAATTTTTACTAGCGTTCACATTTTCTCTTTGTGGTTTTGGCTGATTTTGATTTTCATTTTTTACTGGTGCTGGACCATTTGGTGCTTCTGCTTTCACATCCATCTTGTTCTTTACTTATTATTATTCACTTTTATAATATTTTTAATGATTAAAAGCTTACTTACTCTACTTAAATATTTAATTGAAATGAGACCGAAAGTTCTTGCAAGCGTGTCTTACAAAAAAAGCAGGTATAGTTTTTTCCACTAAAAACAGTTTGAAATATTTTCGTCCGTTGGAATTATTTTCGTCATACTTTACAAAATTTCAAATCTTGCGATCGATTTTTCGACCACTTCTACTGCTCTAATCGAGCTGAAATTTCGCATTGACTTACAATATTATTACGATGCCAATACAATATTCAAGCATTTGTGGAGCTTAGAAATGCTTAATCATAGAAAGAAACATATAAATTATGAAATAATACATTTTTACATCAATTAATAACACCTTTGAAAACCGTTAACATTTGACAATTAACTATTAATATGCAAATGTGCATTTAAAACAAAATATTTGAGCATGCATTTATGCTGTTTTAATGTATTAGAGTCCCGACGAAAAAAAATTATTCGTGAGTGACGCTTTAAATCTTAAATATCTCCGAAACCACAAAAGTGGCAAATTTCAAAATTATTTTATCCTGTAGGAAAAAACAATCCCCATCTTTTGATATACAACTTACTTAATAAAATTAAGCAGGTGCTTCAGAATATCACTTTACTTAGGCGTCACTCACGAATAATGAAAACGAAATTTGTTTGGCTTCATAAAAAGTAATAAATTGTCCCCGAAACATACTTAAATGAACAAAATTAAGTTTAAAAAATTTTAACGGTTTTGAATTTTTTCTGTCGTAAATTGTTTGTTTACAAACAAAAATTGAAATGAAATTTAAAAAATCATGAAAATATCACTCAATAATGACGTTAAAGCTCTTAAAATAGGCAGAATAGCTAATGTATCATTTACTTTTCGTAATCATATCATAATATTTGGGAATAATGATTGAATAATTAAGATATTTTGGAATTTAATTTTTGATGTGTTGTAAGATGCTTCCAGTGAGGCACAAGATTCATAAACATTTTTATATGGAAAAATGTTTAACCGATTATTACATAACATATTTTTTTTTGTTTACAACGGAAATATTTGTTGGTAGTAGTTTGATATTAATAAAATGGTTGTGACAGTATGCATTAAGTTAAATGTATGTGAAAAAATGTTGGAACTAGCGAGTTCCTTCACAAGATTCAGCTCACTGGATCTATGTTATTGAATACATACTTTACTTGTATCATAATGGAAATATGTTTTTGGTTCCAGCATTGATTTTTTTCTTGCTGTATACTTATTTCTTGGATCTTGGTTCCAACGATAGCACAATTTCAATTTCAATTTTAGTGGATTGTATTTAATTTTTGACAAATTAAATTATTTAATCAATTTTTCACAATGATCTTTCACTTTCAACAAAATTTCAAAGTTCACTAAGAACTTTTTCTTATTTCTTAATTATAAAGTTGAAATTGTAAAATTACACTTAGAAATTGTTCTCAAATTTTAGTGGATCATGGTTTCAAGTTTCAGACATGATTTAAACTTTACTGCACCTTTGTTCCAAGTTTTAGATATGCTTCAAACTTTACTGAATTATAATAATTTGTTGCAGATTAAATTTCAGACAAGATTAAACCTTTACTTGATCTTGTTTTCAAGCTTCAGACATGATTTAAACTTAACTGCACCTTTGTTCCAAGTTTTAGATATGCTCAAACTTTACTGAATTATAATAATTTGTTGCAGATTAAATTTCAGACAAGATTAAACCTTTACTTGATCTTGTTTTCAAGCTTCAGACATGATTTAAACTTTACTGCACCTTTGTTCCAAGTTTTAAATATGCTTCAAACTTTACTGAATCATAATAATTTGTTGCAGACATTCTAAGCTGCTCTATTGGCTCACATACAATTAATCATTAACGACACAACTCTGAAATTTTGGTCCAATTTTGAAATCATCTCAAAGTATTTCAAATAAACATGAAAGAAAAGTCTGGCACAAGATGCAATAGATAACGGTCATCAGTAATTTGAATATGTTTTCAAAAGTTTCTAAAAGTATCACTCAATACTTATTTGCTTAGCGTTTCTATTATTTTAACGTTGTTAAGTGCTTAATATTCCATTAATTACAGCATAAAGTAATTAAATAGATAATCTTAGTGCAGTCAAAATTCAGAGTGTCTAGACCTGAGCTGCAACAATAGAAATTTTTATTACTATATTTTTCATAGATTTGCATAGATATCTTGAAGAAAAATGGTCAAATTATATGCCATAAGTATATTCTTTAAGGCATCAGAAGAAGCCAAAGTCCTAAAATCTCACTATGATCTTCAGAGCTTTAGTTTCTTTCAAAGAGGTAGTGTGCAAGAATTTATACAATTTGCAAGTAAAACAATTACGGAACGAACGAGCCCATGTACGAGACAATCCGTTAAGCAGGATGTCTATATGTGTCATGTATATGTCAGAAGTGATAATTTAGCTGCCGTGTTAATTGCAGATCATGAATATCCAGGTAATGTCTATCTCACTTTTTGATACAATCTGGATGTTAATTAAACTGTTATTTGGTACAGGACGTGTTGCTCATACCTTATTAACAAAAATTATGGACGATTTCTCAGCAAAAGTTTCAAGTGACCAGTGGTCGAATGGAACAGAACAGTCTATAAGCTTTACTCAACTTCCAGCATATTTGACCAAATATCAAGATCCAAGAGAAGCTGATCCACTTACAAAAATGCAAAATGACTTGGATGAGACGAAAATCATCCTCAGAAATACTATTGAGCAAGTGTTGATTCGTGGCGAGAAACTTGACGATCTAGTGAGTCAATCCGAGGAACTTTCTGCTCAGTCTAAAGCGTTCTATAAAACAGCAAAAAAGACAAACTCATGCTGTAACTTTAGTTAAATATACATGCCTGGTTCCACTTTCTACATTACCATCAATTCTTTCTGTTCCATTGATTTTATGTCTAATTTTTAATTTAATTATTATTTCTGCGCATCCAAAAAAAAAAACAACTTATGAGATAAAAGAGATTTAATTGTTCAATTACTTTGTGGTCTATGTGACAAAAAAGTTTATATTCCAGATATTATGATTTATAGTTAATCTTAGTTGAGCATAATTTCGAGTTAATCCGTTTATAGCTATCATAAATGAAGTGGATGTTATTCGTTCCATGTATTTATAAATATCCAAAACTATACCTATATCATATTATATCGAGCATAACTGGATGAAAGACTACATAAAATGTGTATGATGGAGATATATTAATTAACTGTATTAAACAACAGAAGACAAAATGCAAATTTATTTTAAAAAAAAGTGTTAAATAAAGAATTTTATTAATTATCTTAATCGTAGCTAAATGTTTAATGAATGATTCACATACAAATAAGTCTCGCAATAATCATTAAAGAACTGTCTCAGTCATCATCATAAAGTTGTCGATGCAACATATAAAATAAATGCTAGAACTTGCTATATATGTACAAGTGGATTATGACAGCATGTCGAGCTTAGCGCAAATTACATCACTTAACATAAAATTATGAAAGAAGCATCTTTTCGTGACAGAGATACTGGCTATAAGATTAATAGTAATGCAGTGCAAAGATCTATCCCCAGGCTTGGTTAATTGAGTAATGAAGTGAGAGCTTATTCTGATTTCCATAACATTCATAAAGATTTTTAAGGATTTGATCAGGACTAGGCGCAAAAGTTTGATTTATGTACAGGAACTGAAAAGAATTCAACATTAATATTTAAGACAAACAGCATAAAGTTATTGATTTACAATTTTCTCTTCTGGATCTAGTTTGAGATATTTGTGAATGAATTTGCTAACCCATGAGATGTCCTTCATCCAATCCACTGTCCACTTCCTTTGTTTCATAATTGGCGCGTTTCCTGCTGCATTTAATAATATATCGACTAAAACATGAAAAGCTTAAGTTGAATATTTGATTATTGATTTTAAATCCTTTTTATTTACTTTTAACTGTCTCATTTAACTTCTCTGGCTGTAAAGACAGTTTCTCAACACCTGCTGTTGCTTCCGATTCATCTGTCATGCTTCTAAACTGATTAATTTACTTTAATTTTATATTATTTTTGTTTGAAAATAAATATCAATATTGGAGTGGTGGATTCAAGTCAAAAATAATGTTTACGTCACTTGCGATCGAGCCTTCAAAACAATGATTTTGCTTGCGAAATATCATTAATTAAATTGTAATAAATATAGACAGCTTTAAAATGCTATCTCGTCAAGTACTTTTTCTACGTGGATTCAATCATTCGAGGTAATATTAATCACAACAAGTTAATACTTAATTAGACGACTAATTTCGACATTATATAAATAGGAATTTTAGAGTGAAACAATTTGAGAACTTGACAAGGAATATAAAAAGTAAGAGACCAGAGGATTATAAGCTTACACCTGTAACTAATTCACCGACATACATACAGGAAGGCTTGATAGCTAGATGTGGATTATTCACAGCCGTTTTTTGCACATCATGTTTTGTGGGTGCTTCAATTTCTGAATATGAAAGGATTAGAAGAAGAGCCGTTAATGCACTTCGGAATGCAAATCCTTTGGAATGGATGAGAAAGCATCAAAATTCAATTAATGATAAGCAGAAAGAACTGAATGATGAAATAGCTAAATTAAAGAGGAATTTAAATCAGATGTGGAACCAATTAACACCGGGAGAGAAAGTATGGGCTCCAATTTTAGTTGCTAATGTGATAGTTTTTGGACTTTGGCGAGTTCCATCATTAAGAGCAACGATGTTAAGACATTTTGCATCAAATCCAGCAAGTCAGGGCATTTCAGTTTACTCAAGCATGTTCTTTTCGACTTTCAGTCACTATTCATTATTTCATTTATTTGCGAATATGTACGTTCTGCACAGCTTTTCATCAGCTGTAAACAGTTTAGGATATGAACAATTTATAGCTCTTTATTTAAGTGCCGGAGTTCTTTCATCTTTCACTAGTTATGCCTTTAAAGCTTTAACTTATTCACCTGGATACTCATTGGGTGCATCTGGTGCTATTATGGCAATTTTAGCGTACGTATGCGCTCAATATCCAGACACAAAGTTATCTATCATGTTTATTCCACAATGGCAGTTTTCAGCAGAATCTGCCATTAGATTTATAATATGTCTTGATTTAGCGGGTCTTGCATTTCGATGGAAGCTCTTTGATCATGCTGCTCATTTAGGTGGTGCCGCTATTGGACTTTTTTGGTGTTATTATGGAAAAGATAAATTGTGGCCACAGCGTGAGCACTTAGTAAGTCTTTGGCATCAATTTCGAGGAAAGCCTATTAAATAAATTGACGACTCTTTGTTCATCTATAAAACATATGCTGCAATAAATGTCATTCAAAAGCGACAGTGCCTTTTATTCTAAATTGATGACCAAAATCTTTATTACATCTAAGCTTTATTTTAATTATTAAGAATTGATTGAAAACTACAAAAAAATGCACAACTTTACTTCAGTAAACTGATTAGTAGAATTTAGATCAGAATGAATCTTTTGCATAAAATTGCCTACATCTCTCATTGAAAGCCTTGAATGTTCTGTCTTTCACAATATCTTCAACTCCTTGTTCTTGCTTCAGTACTCTTAACTTTCGCTGCTCAGTTTTAAACTTTTTCTCAATATTTGAATCATTCATGTCTTCTTCTCGTTGTTTCTTCAGAAGCTTGACTTGATCGGCACTTACTTGAATACATTCTTTGATCACTTTATCTCTTTCGGCATATCCAGTCTTTAATTTCTCAAAAAGTTCCTGACAATTTCTTTCTGGATTAGATGACGTTCTTGCCTTTATTGATTCCGTTGGTAGTGATATGTTTAATGCATAGATAATAGAATCATCTAGATTCCTCATATGCTTTAAAGTTTCCTGGATTAATTAATGTATTTTTGAAAGTTGAAATTAATTGTTTTAAAATTAGTGAATTACCGTAAGATAGTCAATCATACCTGAAACTGCAAGACATCTCCGCACACCAATTTGTATGACATATTGAATTAAGCTGCTAATTTATCAAATTTTCCTTGAATTAATTTGTTGAATAATATTTATAAATTTTGAGGTTAAGTGCTAAATTTCTGAAAATTTCAAATTTTAAAAGTTCGTTGAAGTTGAACAAATAAAGTTTCTATAAAAGATCAGTTTTATTCAGCTTCCATTATTTCATTTACAGATTTATTAGCCTTATCATGATGATTAGCAACAGCCTTTTGAGCACTACTCAAATTTGGTTTATGTGACACTGATCGACTTCTCATTTCATCTTCATTTTTTCTGTTGACTGATTTTGTAATTGCTTCCTGGATCTTTTGCTTATCCTTTAACTTCTGTTTAGCAGGAGCACCTATAAATATGCATGTATTAGATCCTTGCTTTCTCAATTTATAAATAATAATAATAACAATAATAATTGGAACTCTTAATTTCAAGTGATTTCATATATATTTTGATTCTTACTCTTTCTCTTTTGGAAAGCTGAGTTCTGCTTGTTTGTCTTGTTGAAAGTCTTATGCTTAACATTATCTGGAAGCTTAGCCTTTGTTTTGTTCTTTCCTTGTGCCATTTTTCTTGGTTTTATTAAATATATTTAATAAAATTATTACAGGTTTGTTTACAAACGTGACTGAGTGACTTGGATGAGACGAAAATCATCCTCAGAAAAACAACAATAGTTTATAAACTATATAAAGTGGAAAACGAGGAATCAAAAAAATTAGAATAGCTTAATCGCATAAATAAGATGTCAGAGAACACAAGTGGAAAGGAATCGGTGACAAAAACCTCAATGGTTTATGTCTGTTCAGGTAACATTTATTTCATAGCATAAACAAATTCTTTACATTAATATTAATTATTTTAGAATGTCACAATGAGAACGAGATGAAGCCAAGAGATCCAATTCGTTGCAGAGAATGTGGACATCGAATTATGTACAAGAAACGCACAAAACGTTTGGTAGTCTTTGATGCTCGATGAATCACAACTAAGGAAAATTAATTAATTTAAGTCACTCAAAGATAATCAATAAAGATAGATTAATTATTTTGCTTAAAAAAGACAACTGATGATCTAGTTTATTTACTTCTTCATGAGTGAATTACATAGTTTTTGAAAGAGCACTGAACTGGATGTGAGCATGAAAGGAATAGAATAGTAAACAAGGACTTGATGGCGATTAATCTAGAAATTCTTAAACCAGTTTTTTGATGTAGAAGGCTTCTTTCCTCGTCGTTCCTTATTTAAATTTTTTTCTATCCCTTCGTGATACAGTTTAACATCATCTTGATCATCATAATTCTGTTGTTGTGACTGTTTCTTGATGTTCTTCTTGACTTCAGCAAGCTATTGCAATCGTTAATAAAGTTAAAATACAGTTTTTAGTAGATATTATGAATCATACCTGCTCCTCCAAGCGTTCTTTGTGCTTAACGCGTTTCCCTTTTTCAGAATTAGCCGATTCAATCTGTTCCTGCAAACAACTTAAGCAACTTTCACAAGATTTCAGCCAATCACTTAAAATATTGGCTATTTCCTGGATATTTTCTGTCTGTATATCACGAGCTACAGCATAATCAACTTCCAATTGACGATTCTTCTGATCCAACTTTCCATTGATGAGCTCTAAGACACATTATTCATTAATAGACTTAATTACATTAATTGGATTGTCATTAATTACCTGCATAAATAGCTTCAATAATCAAATCTTCAAGATGACGAACATTTTTTATGTCCAGTTCACTCATTAAATCATCATAAGGTAATGTCTTTTTCTGTGTTGCTAACGTTAGAATCGTAAGATGTTTTAACTTCTTGTCCATAATTGGAGTAAGGTCTATTAGCTTATCCTTATTTTCCAGATATTGACGGTAAGTTCCGAAAGCGAATAAATTTAATGTATTATAATATTTTTCATACTCTCCTGTCTTGAGCTGCAATTAGATTCAGATTAGTAGTTTATAGACAGCAATATTAAGCATAACTTACATCGTTGATCTCGGTAATTTGAAGAAATTCAGAATAAGTATTGAGACTTAAATTTTCTAAGATTTGGATAATAGAATTAGCAATTTCCTGTTTGTTTGTCGAGTGTTCCTTAATGAGCTTGTGGAACTGATCATAAGTAGTCTGCTGAATACTAGGAGATACTTCCATGTTTGCTGCTGATTACTCTAAATGTGAAATTTAATTTTTTTCTTTTAATCTTTGTATTTTGCAGTATTTTGTTGCAAAAACAATATTTGACCCATTTTTCTAGCAAAAGTTTATCGAAATGACTAATATTTTGTCATATTGTCCAAATCGGTTTGAAGCACTAAATTGACAACTAATTATATTCACACCGTTTTCAAGTGTGAATCTATTGGTTTTGTTCAGATTGAAAAATCAGATTTTTGAATTTTGTGAGGATATGGAGCAAAATAGCTTAAAATGTTCAGAGATGAAAAGTTTGTGCCTTGAATTTCACAAAATCAATTTTCTCACTTTTTTCTTTTGAGGGTTTATCCAAATAAATTGAAACTTTGCATAAATATTCTAATGCTTAAAAAAAATACAAATAAAACATCTTAAAATTTTTTGAGCAAAGAACCAAGAAGAGGTTTATCCAAATGGATTGAAACTTTGCATAAATATTTAAGTGCTTAAAACAAATACGAATAAAACATCCTTAAAATTTTTTTGAACAAAGAACCAAGAAGGAAATACATTTTCAATTTTGGACTAGGGGCGACCCTAGTCAAAATCAATTTTGTCACTATTTTCTTCGAGGGTTTATCCAAATGGATTGAAACTTTGCATAAACATTCTATTGTTTAAAAAAAATACAAATAAAACATCTTAAAATTTTTTGAGCAAAGAACCAAGAAGGAAATACATTTTCAATTTTGGACTAGGGGCGACCCTAGTCAAAATCAATTTTGTCACTTTTTTCTTCGAGGGTTTATCCAAATGGATTGAAACTTTGCATAAATATTCAAATGCTTAAAACAAATACAAATAAAACATCTTAAAATTTTTTGAGCAAAGAACCAAGAAGGAAATACATTTTCAATTTTGGACTAGGGGCGACCCTAGTCAAAATCAATTTTGTCACTTTTTTCTTCGAGGGTTTATCCAAATGGATTGAAACTTTGCATAAACATTCTATTGTTTAAAAAAAATACAAATAAAACATCTAAAAATTTTTTGAGCAAAGAACCAAGAAGGAAATACATTTTCAATTTTGGACTAGGGGCGACCCTAGTCAAAATCAATTTTGTCACTTTTTTCTTCGAGGGTTTATCCAAATGGATTGAAACTTTGCATAAATATTCTAACGCTTAAAGCAAATACAAATAAAACATCCAAAAATTTTTTTGAGCAAAGAACCAAGAAGGAAATACATTTTCAATTTTGGACTAGGGGCGACCCTAGTCAAAATCAATTTTGTCACTTTTTTCTTCGAGGGTTTATCCAAATAGATTTAAACTTTGCATAAATAATCTAGTGCTTAAAACAAATACAAATAAAACATAAAAAAAATTTTTTGAGCAAAGAACCAAGTAGGAAATACATTTTCAGTTTTGGACTAGGGGCGACCCTAGTCAAAATCAATTTTGTCACTTTTTTCTTCGAGGGTTTATCCAAATAGATTGAAACTTTGCATAAATACTCAAATGCTTAAAAAAAATACAAAAAAAACATCCTAAAATTTTTTTGAGCAAAGAACCAAGTAGGAAATACATTTTCAATTTTGGACTAGGGGCGACCCTAGTCAAAATCAATTTTGTCACTATTTTCTTCGAGGGTTTATCCAAATGGATTGAAACTTTGCATAAACATTCTATTGTTTAAAAAAAATACAAATAAAACATCTTAAAATTTTTTGAGCAAAGAACCAAGAAGGAAATACATTTTCAATTTTGGACTAGGGGCGACCCTAGTCAAAATCAATTTTGTCACTTTTTTCTTCGAGGGTTTATCCAAATGGATTGAAACTTTGCATAAATATTCAAATGCTTAAAACAAATACAAATAAAACATCTTAAAATTTTTTGAGCAAAGAACCAAGAAGGAAATACATTTTCAATTTTGGACTAGGGGCGACCCTAGTCAAAATCAATTTTGTCACTTTTTTCTTCGAGGGTTTATCCAAATGGATTGAAACTTTGCATAAACATTCTATTGTTTAAAAAAAATACAAATAAAACATCTAAAAATTTTTTGAGCAAAGAACCAAGAAGGAAATACATTTTCAATTTTGGACTAGGGGCGACCCTAGTCAAAATCAATTTTGTCACTTTTTTCTTCGAAGGTTTATCCAAATGGATTGAAACTTTGCATAAATATTCTAACGCTTAAAGGAAATACAAATAAAACATCTTAAAATTTTTTGAGCAAAGAACCAAGAAGGAAATACATTTTCAATTTTGGACTAGGTGCGACCCTAGTCAAAATCAATTTTGTCACTTTTTTCTTCGAGGGTTTATCCAAATCGATTGCAACTTTGCATAAACATTCAATTGTTTGAAACAAATACAAATAAAACATCTAAAATTTTTTTGAGCAAAGAACCAAGAAGGAAATACATTTTTAATTTTGGACTAGGGGCGACCCTAGTCAAAATCAATTTTGTCACTTTTTTCTCCGAGGGTTTATCCAAATGGATTGAAACTTTGCATAAACATTCAATTGTTTAAAACAAATACAAATAAAACATCTAAAAATTTTTTGAGCAAAGAACCAAGTTGAAATACATTTTCAATTTTGGACTAGGGGCGACCCTAGTCAAAATCAATTTTGTCACTTTTTTCTTCGAGGGTTTATCCAAATGGATTGAAACTTTGCATAAATATTCTAATGCTTAAAACAAATACAAATAAAACATCCTTAAAATTTTTTTGAGCAAAGAACCAAGTAGGAAATACATTTTCAATTTTGGACTAGGGGCGACCCCAGTCAAAATCAATTTTGTCACTTTTTTCTTCGCGGGTTTATCCAAATGGATTGAAACTTTGCATAAATATTCTAATGCTTAAAACAAATACAAATAAAACATCCTTAAAATTTTTTTGAGCAAAGAACCAAGTAGGAAATACATTTTCAATTTTGGACTAGGGGCGACCCCAGTCAAAATCAATTTTGTCACTTTTTTCTTCGAGTGTTTATCCAAATGGATTGAAACTTTGCATAAATATTCTAGTGTTAAAAAAAAATACAAATAAAACATCCTCAAATTTTTTGAGCAAAGAACCAAGAAGGAAATACATTTTCAATTTTGGACTAGGGGCAACCCTAGTCAAAATTAATTTTGTCACTTTTTTCTTCGCGGGTTTATCCAAATGGATTGAAACTTTGCATAAATATTCTAATGCTTAATACAAATACAAATAAAACATCCTTAAAATTTTTTTGAGCAAAGAACCAAGTAGGAAATACATTTTCAATTTTGGACTAGGGGCGACCCCAGTCAAAATCAATTTTGTCACTTTTTTCTTCGAAGGTTTATCCAAATGGATTGAAACTTTGCATAAATATTCTAACGCTTAAAGGAAATACAAATAAAACATCCTAAAATTTTTTGAGCAAAGAACCAACAAGGAAATACATTTTCAATTTTGGACTAGGCTCGACCCTAGTCAAAATCAATTTTGTCACTTTTTTCTTCGAGGGTTTATCCAAATAGATTGAAACTTTGCATAAATATTCCAACGCTTAAAACAAATACAAATAAAACATCTTAAAATTTTTTGAGCAAAGAACCAAGAAGGAAATACATTTTCAATTTTGGACTAGGGGCGACCCTAGTCAAAATCAATTTTGTCACTTTTTTCTTCGAAGGTTTATCCAAATAGATTGAAACTTTGCATAAATATTCTAACGCTTAAAGCAAATACAAATAAAACATCCTAAAATTTTTTGAGCAAAGAACCAAGAAGAAAATACATTTTCAATTTTGGACTAGGGGCGACCCTAGTCAAAATCAGTTTTGTCACTTTTTTCTTCGAGGGTTTATCCAAATAGATTTAAACTTTGCATAAATAATCTAGTGCTTAAAACAAATACAAATAAAATATAAAAAAAATTTTTTGAGCAAAGAACCAAGTAGGAAATACATTTTCAGTTTTGGACTAGGGGCGACCCTAGTCAAAATCAATTTTGTCACTTTTTTCTTCGAGGATTTATCCAAATGGATTGAAACTTTGCATTAATATTCTAGTGCTTTAAACAAATACAAGCACAACATCTTAAATTTTTTTAACAAAGAACCAAGTAAGAAACATATTTTCAATTTTGGACTAGGGGCGACCCTAGTCAAAATCAATTTTGTCACTTTTTTCTTCGAGGGTTTATCCAAATAGATTTAAACTTTGCATAAATAATCTAGTGCTTAAAACAAATACAAATAAAACATAAAAAAAATTTTTTGAGCAAAGAACCAAGTAGGAAATACATTTTCAGTTTTGGACTAGGGGCGACCCTAGTCAAAATCAATTTTGTCACTTTTTTCTTCGAGGATTTATCCAAATGGATTGAAACTTTGCATAAACATTTTAGTGCTTAAAACAAATACAAATAAAACATTCTAAAATTTTTTTGAGCAAAGAACCAAGAAGGAAATACATTTTCAATTTTGGACAAGGGACGGCCCTAGTCAAAATCAATTTTGTCACTTTTTTCTTCGAGGGTTTATCCAAATGGATTGAAACTTTGCATAAACATTTTAGTGCCTAAAACAAATACAAATAAAACATCCTAAAATTTTTTTGAGCAAAGAACGAAGAAGGAAATACATTTTCAATTCTGGACTAGGGGCGACCCTAGTCAAAATCAATTTTGTCACTTTTTTCTTCGAGGGTTTATCCAAATGGATTGAAACTTTGCATTAATATTCTAGTGCTTTAAAAAAATACAAATAAAACATCTTAAAATTTTTTGAGCAAAGAACCAAGAAGGAAATACATTTTCAATTTTGGACTAGGGGCGACTCTAGTCAAAATCAATTTTGTCACTTTTTTCTTCGAGGGTTTATCCAAATGGATTGAAACTTTGCATAAATATTCAAATGCTTAAAACAAATACAAATAAAACATCTTAAAATTTTTTGAGCAAAGAACCAAGAAGGAAATACATTTTCAATTTTGGACTAGGGGCGACCCTAGTCAAAATCAATTTTGTCACTTTTTTCTTCGAAGGTTTATCCAAATGGATTGAAACTTTGCATAAATATTCTAACGCTTAAAGCAAATACAAATAAAACATCTTAAAATTTTTTGAGCAAAGAACCAAGAAGGAAATACATTTTCAATTTTGGACTAGGGGCGACTCTAGTCAAAATCAATTTTGTCACTTTTTTCTTCGAGGGTTTATCCAAATGGATTGAAACTTTGCATAAATATTCAAATGCTTAAAACAAATACAAATAAAACATCTTAAAATTTTTTGAGCAAAGAACCAAGAAGGAAATACATTTTCAATTTTGGACTAGGGGCGACCCTAGTCAAAATCAATTTTGTCACTTTTTTCTTCGAAGGTTTATCCAAATGGATTGAAACTTTGCATAAATATTCTAACGCTTAAAGCAAATACAAATAAAACATCCTAAAATTTTTTTGAGCAAAGAACCAAGTAGGAAATACATTTTCAATTTTGGACTAGGGACGGCTGTTAAATTGTTTTATTTGTATTTGTTTTAAGCACTAGATTATTTTTGCAAAGCTTCAATTCATTTGGATAAACCCTCAAAGAAAAAAGTGACAAAATTGATTTTGACTAGGGTCGCCCTTAGTCCAAAATTGAAAATATATTTTCTATGGTGTACTTTGGTCAAAAAAATTTTTTGGATGTTTTATTTGAATTGACATAATTTTGACATAAATCACATACCAATATTTCTTTTTGTAATGCATAGTTTAAAAAAAACGAAATCTAAAATTTCGACTACCCCATCTGAATTTTGTTCATACTCTTCACTGTGGAATCCAAAAAACAAAATCTTTATCTTAAAACACTTGACAAAATAGCGACATAATTCAGGATTTATTACGTTTTAATAATACTTTAAATTTACGAGAAAATGTGGTTCAAATAAGTGTGAAGTAATTGCTAATATTGATAATATAAGTTAATTTACTATTGGTGTTTATGTTTGTTACATTTTAACGACTTATGACAATTTAAATTTGGTAACAAGTGAGTTTTAGGACTCAGCACATTTGCAAAGCTGGTTGCTGTTTCTATTAATTTAATTGGTTCTCGACAATACGGTAAGCTTAAAATTATCATAAATATTAAAGCTTTGAAAATCCTAATGAGATCAAATCACAGATCACTAAAGCAACTTGAAATTGTAAGAGAAATCCGAGATATCTTTGAAATATAAAATTTTGAGTAGCATAACCTATTTGTTTTATTTTCAGAATTTTTAACAAAAGCGTGAAAATGCAGGAAAACATTTGTGGTAATTGCCAAAAGAGTGCCAATTTGCTTTGTATGCGATGCAGCACTGAATATTATTGCTCGAAAAAGTGTCAAGTTACAGCTTTTCCAGTTCATCGTAAAGAATGCTTCTCGATTCCGTAAGATTTAAAAAAATAATCAAATTTTCATTATATTAATAAATTTAATGGATTTCAGACCCTTAAAAGCTGTTAATGGTGAACCAAATTTGTTGCAAACAAGCAACATTTCATTAGATTCCGATGATTCTGATAAAATATCAATTGCTGGATTAAAGAAGCCTGATGATGAAATAAAAACTGTAACCTTACAAAAGAAACATGAAGAAGTTCCTAAAAAGGTTGAAACAATGAAATTAATCACTCCAGCATTTAATCCTGGAATTCGGACGGTTCCACCAAATGATGTTAAGGCATCACCATCCGTTATGAGCATTTCAAAACCAGCTATTGAAAAAGAGAAGGTTGTAGAAGAAGTCGCTAAACCAACTGAAAAGAAACAAGCATTCAGTCTCGAAACAATTCGTCGTAATCAGCAAAATACACTAATGAATCAACAACAAAAGAAGCAAACACCTTCAAAGGAACCACGTATCTTTTTGAATGAATTGAAAGTTCGTTTGTTGCCGATTGGACAAGTCAAAGTTAAAATACTAGGCGAACATGAATGTCCGAAAACATTCTACGTAACAGAAGCATTGGATGCAGTTGATGCTTTCCTTGAACACATCGAAATCGGTATCAATGATTATGTCAAGAACGAAAAGTCCAAAAGCTATAAGCCGGTAATGAACGAAATAGTTTTGGCTCGATTTGAAGGAGTTTATTATCGAGCTGTTATCGAAAACATCATTAATGATGATCCTGCCAAGCCAGTTTACGGTGTTTTCTTTATTGATTATGGAAATGTCTCGCAAGTAACAGAAGATGACTTGTTGGCATTTCCTTCCAAATTAAAAGGAGAAATTATTTTGCATCCAGTTTTCTTACAAAATTTTCCAACAGTTGTTACAAAAAAGTTGGAAGAAATTGTAACTTGCCCCGAAGGCTTTGATATAGTCATTCAAGAAAAGTCTGACAAAGGCTATATCGCAAATATTGTCGGAATTTAAGTGAGTCATACACAAACAAATGAGCATAATTCGCGCACATAGATTATTAAACATAAGTTCGTCATTTAAAACATTTTTTTAAACATAAGTTCGTCATTTAATACATTTTTTTAATCATAAGTTTGTCATTTAATACTTAACAGAAGTCCGTCAAAATAAGTATTACCAAAACAAAAGAAACATACATTTATTTAGGTTTAAGATTTCATTATAATTAAAATGGCCCAAACACAAAAGAAACAAAATTTACAGACACAATAAAGCACTAGCATTAACTTCAATTTTTATTGAACTATTTAATCTACAGTCATAGTTGATGGTATTGCTTATGATAAGCATAGAGATTTTGAAGAGTATTCATTGTGTTTAGGAATCAACATTGGTTCTTAATGGTTATTTTTGACCCCATTCTGGATGATGCTGCACATGCTTCAGTTCCAGTATATTCAAGAATTCAGAATGCGACTGTCAACTTCTTAATTTCTTTCCAATGATAGCAACATCAAAGAGACTGATGCATTTGATGATAAACAGTTTAATGTCCGTAGATTATTTTTTACATGCTATTCAAGTATTTAATGAGGATGCAAATAAAATTGGCTAATTCACTGAATAAAGCATAAATTGTATCATAAAAGGAGCAGTACAAAAAATTCGGAGATATGTACATAACAATGTGATTACATTGTTGACTGAATAGCTTATTAAATTATAATTGCATCATCAACGGCTAAGAATTTTTTGAATTGGAACCGATGTAGAAGTCGAGCAAAACAATAGAAAATAATGAAGAAAATTGAATTTTTATTAATTATAGTGATTTCACTTAATTTAACTAATGCCAAATATCATAACAATGTTTTTAGTGAAGAGTTGGTCATAAAGGAACTTAATAATAACTTTGTAAATACGTATTTCCAATTTACAACGCAATGGAACTTTAAAACTAATGAAAATGATCGTAAGTGAATTAATATAAATATAATTCGTCGATTAATTAAACTTTATTTCATAGTCCTACACACGGATTTGTTGTCAAGATCAATATCCGAGTTGTTCCTACATTATGATATAATTGAGCTACATGTAACGCTGTCTAATGGCTTATGGAAACATGAATTCTGGGGCTTTCCTGTTGATTCGTCTGGATCTGGCGCAGAACTTTATGTCTGGTTCAAAAATCATTTATCACAAGAGGAAATTAAAAGACAATGGATAGAATTGAGTGAAGCATTATCTGGATTATTATGTGCATCATTTAGTTTCGTTGAGGAAACAAATACAATTAGTCCACATTATTCATATCGTCCAACATCATCTTGGAATGTACCATTAAATTCATCCTTTATTCGCTATGCTGCACTTCCTCGTGAAGTTGTTTGTACTGAGAATTTAACGCCTTGGAAGAAGCTATTGCCTTGTGATCCACAAGAAGGTTTCATGTCGCTTCTCAATGCACAATATATCTACAGCACAAATTTTCATTCGTTAGGTATACATGTCAGGCAATTATGTATAGATAAAACATGTTCAAATGCCATTCTTGAGTCTAAACAAACTGTTAATTTAGTTCATGATCTCAAATTATTTGGTGGAAGTGAATGGTCAATACGTAAGCTTTTTGGACAGGGATTGAACGGTGCATGTTCAGTATCAAGTTCTAGTAAAATTTATCTAGACATTACTGATAAAGATTTTGAGATATCACCAAAGCCACTCAACATAATTACATCAAAGAAAGGTGGAAGTGAAACTACATATGGAGAATATGATGTGAAAAAATGGACTGGAACTGGCATTAATAAAATGATCAATATTGCTATAGTTAATAAGAAGCACAAGACAATACCAATTACAAATCCTCCGCCCTTATTCGCTAAGAGATTTTTACAAGGAACTGGAAAAGAGAGAGGAAAGATTGTGAATCAAATTACAAATTCACATTGGTCTAATTTAAATTTAGTAGTTATGGAGAACTTTCCTTGGTTCGTGCCTATTTATTTGCATACATTAAAGTTACGTGTTGGAAATAAGGAAATTAAAGCAACAGCTATTAAATACATTCCTGGAGAACAACGAAAGAGAGCATATCATCTAGAAGTTGCATTTTCTATCCCTGCAAAAACTACCGTTGAAATGTCAATAGAATTTGATTACATCTTTTTGAGGTGGCAAGAATATCCACCTGATGCAAATCATGGTCAATACATTCCATCTTCTGTAATTTCAACTATGCTGCCTATTGCTCTTAACTATACAAGTTTGCCAATTGAAGCTAGTCTTTATGTTGAAAGTTTTAATGCAACACGATCTTCATACTTTTTGAGAATTCACACAGAAGCACTTTTGATTAATTTACCAACACCTGATTTTTCGATGCCATATAATGTAATTTGTCTAGCTTGTACTGTTGTTGCACTAGCTTTTGGTCCGTTGCACAACATGACAACGAAACGATTAGTACTTCAAAAGAAAGAGGAAGCAAAGAAGACATTCTTAGGAAAACTTAAAGATAAATTGTTTAAAAAGAAGGAAAAGCCAGAATAAATATTTTTTTGTTACTTCACAGTAATTCCAAATAATTCAAAAATACAAGTTTATTTCAATAGCTATTAGTATGTCCATACTTTTAAAACCTTATCTTTTCCACCACTTGCAACTTTTGATCCATCAACAGCCCAATCAACAGCAAAAACTTCATCAGCATGTCCTGGAAGTTCTTGTGCCAATTTCTTTGTCTTTAAACTCCAAACTTTTAATGTTGAATCTTTACTACTGCTCACTAGTAATCTTGAATCTGCTGACCATGCAACACAATAAACAGCTTGAACATGTCCACGGAGTACTGTAATAAATCCACCGTCAGTTGCTCTCCATAGTCTCACAGACTTATCGAATGATGCTGATGCGATTGTTCTACAATAAGTATATTAGATAGATTTATTTAAATCTTCTCGTTAATCTGTGGATTAAAATCTTTAAACGTACCTAACATCTGGAGAATATTTGACATCATTTACAACATTTTGATGACCAGTCATGCGAGTAATGCATTGTTTTTGATCAGATCGCCAAAGATAAAGTGTAAAATCATCGGAACAAGATACAAAAGATTCAATACCATCGCTGCATACTTTTTGATATCTTTCAAGAGCAATTTTTCTCAACTCTTCCTTATTATCCTTAATCTTTAGTGCTTTCTTTTTGTCCATCAATGGATTAAATGGACCGGTTCGTAAAACATAATCAGTATTAAGTGCTAAATTATTCACCCAATGTGCATGACCCGAGAAAGTCTTACACATAGTTCCATCATCAGCTCTGTACATTTTACAGGTACGATCTTTTGATGATGTGAATATTAAGCCTGATCCACCCCAACGAACTGCCGTAATTGCTCCTGTATGTCCAGATAATACTCGTACACAAGATCCTAATACAGTATCCCATATTCTTACATCATTATCGTGTCCAGCACTAGCTAATCTACGGCAATCAGGATTCATATGATAAGGTTCCCAACTTAAACAATTAATCCACTTTTTATGTCCACTCATTGTCTTTCCAATTTGTTTGCCTGTATCTGGATCCCACACTTTCAATTCTCCTGATTTACATGCACTTGCAATTTTCTTAGAATCAGGTGACCATGATACTACCAATACCCAATTTTTATGTCCTGTACATGTGAATTTAGGAGTTTCTGTTGTTAAATCCCATAAACGTAATGTTGTATCTCCAGAGCCGCTTGCTAATTGTGTACTATCTGGACTAAAACTTAATGCTACAACAGCTTCAGCATGTCCAGGCATTGAGGAAGTACATCTTGTGACTGCTCTAACACGAAAAACTGCTTGTGGCTGATACACAATATTTAACACATTTTCTAAATCGACTGATTTTGTCACTATCGATTCCTTTAGATTCGTTTTGATCTCTTCATCATTAATGAAGAATAAATAAGGTGTCTGTTCTTCCTGTAAATCATTAAAAGTTATTATTACTTCTGAATATTTCACAATATTTTAAAGACTCACATTTTTAAGCAATGCATTACAGATTAATTCCAATTGCTTCGTGTCTACATCGATTGGAAGGTCTATAACTGGAAGTTCTGAAGCTTCTGTGCTATTATCAGATGACACAAATCGTGCCTGAATGGTATTAATGTCCACTTCCATTCTTACACAATGTTTTTGGTGCTGTTTTCTAAATCAATTTAACTTGTCAACAAAAACACACGTGTTGAGATTTTAATTTTGAAAACCCGTTAAAAATAATTTTCTTTTAAAATCTTTAATTTGGCTATGACTGTGAATTTATGACCAATTTTTCCGATCAAATTTACAATGTGTTTGCGAAAACAATGCGAATTGAACATAAAATCAACTTATTTGACTGGACTCAAACTCAGTGAAAATTAACGGTGAAAAATAATTTAAAATTCTAGGAGAAAAACTCATAGCTGTAAACAAGCATGCTCGTTCGTGAAAAATAATTAAAGAATTTTAAAGTTTTTTAAGGATGTCGCGGTTAATTGTGAAGAATCTACCAAAAGTCGTGAATGAACAAAAGTTAAGGAAGCTATTTGAACAGAAGGGAACTGTTACAGACGTTCAGTTAAAGTATAAAGATGGAAAATTTCGACAATTTGGTTTCATTGGATATGAAAATGAAGGAAGTGCTCTGGAAGCAGTTAATTACTTTAATGACACATTCTTTGGAACCAGTAAAATAAAAGTGGAAGTATGTGCAGCATTAGGCGATGAATCAAAGCCTAAATCATGGAGTAAATATGCAAAAGACAGCGAAGCATTTATTAAGAAAACTGAAAATTCTAAACAAGCAGAAAATGAAGGCGTTGTGGATGAAAAGACTAAGGTCAAGAAAATAGATGCAATTATTAATGAGTATAAAGAAGATCCAGAGTTCCAAGAGTTTATGAAATCACATGCAAAAGATAAATTAATTTGGCAAAATGACATAAATACAGGAACCAAAGTGGATCAGGATGAACAAGAAGGAGAGGAATCAGATGATGATACTAAACTAGCTAATCAAGAAATAAGCGATGCTGAGTACATGAAGAAATTAATGGGAAGTTCTGATAAAGCGGAACCAATAACATTTGAGAAAAAGACGAAAAACTTACTTAAACTTTATACGATCAAAGTACGAAATATACCCAAGAAACTCAAACGTGAAGAGCTTAAAAAATTCTTCAGACCATCAAAAGCTCATTCTGTGAGAATCCCTAAAAATTCCAATTTTGGATATGTCGGATTTAAATTAGAAAGAGACATGAAACGAGCTTTAAGTAAGGATAAAAGTTTCTTAAACGGAAAACAGCTTCATGTCTATGAATTTACACATCAAAAAGAGGAATCAGAAGTAAAAACGTCCAAAATCAATTGTCGGTGGCAAGAACAGGAAGATAAATTAAAAGGTGAAGAAGACATTTGTGAGTCAGGCAAGCTTTTCTTTAGAAACTTGCCATATACAGTCACAGAAGATGATGTTCAAACTGTTTTTGAAAAGTATGGAAATGTCGTTGAAGTAAATGTTCCAATAGATTCAATAACTCGACAAATTAAGGTATATTTTAACATCCACAACTATAATTCTAAATTACTAATTTGACTGTTTTATTTCACAGGGTTTTGGAACAGTAACATTTTTGATGCCAGAAAATGCAGTGCAAGCTTACAATGAATTAAATGGAACTATGTTTCATGGAAGAATGTTTCACTTGTTGCCTGGAAAATCAAATGATAAAACGGAAGCAGACGAGAGTGATCCTAAAAGTTTCAAGGATAAGAAACGAAAAGAATTGAAGAAAACGGCATCATCAGCACATAATTGGAATACTCTTTTCATGGGACCGAATGCAGTAGCTGAAATTATATCAAAAGTTTATGGAAAATCAAAAGAAGAGGTTTTAGAGTCCTCAACGGGAGGTTCTGGTGCAGCAGTAAGATTAGCATTGGGAGAAACACAAGCAGTCTTGGATATGAAAACTTTCCTCGAGAAGCATGGCGTTCAATTAGAATCATTTGATGACGAAAAAGTAAAACGCTCAAAGACAATCATTCTTGTCAAGAACTTGCCAGCAAATACAGATGTCGATGAAGTCAAGTCAAAATTTGAACCTTTTGGAGTTTTAGAATTAGTTGTTATGCCTCCAAATAGCGTGACATGCTTAATTAAATTTTCTGATCCATCAGAAGCAAGAAAGGCATTCAAGAAATTAGCATATTCAAAATTTAAGCATGTTCCTTTATACTTGGAATGGGCACCAGAAAATGTTTTCAGGGATAAAGGCAATGAAGTTGAGGAAAATGTTAATGAGACAGACAAACCTGAAAATAAGATAGAATCAGCAAAGAACGAAGAAAATAATAAAGAAAAGGAGGAAATTGATGATTCAACTCCAGAGCCAAACACGACACTTTTCATCAAAAATCTTAATAAGGAAACAGTTGAAGAGACTATCCGTGAGATATTTAAAAATATTGGCACTATTCATTCAGTTCAGATTGCTAAGAAAAAGAGTACAGACGATGATAAGAAGATGATTCCTTTAGGCTACGGTTTTATTCAATTTAAACAATCGTCTGCAACTGATAAGGCACTAAAAACAATGCAACATAAGGAAATTGATGGAATTAAAATTGAATTAAAACGAAGTGATCGAACGCTTAATACTCCAGCTCATGTGTCTAGAAAGAAGACAGACAATAAGAAGCAAGAAGGATCTACCAAAATTATGGTCCGTAATATTCCATTTCAAGCTAATGCTAATGAAATTCGCCAATTATTTCAAGTGTTTGGTGAACTTAAAGCTGTCAGATTGCCTAAAAAACCAGGCCTGGATCAACATCGTGGTTTTGGTTTCATCGACTTTGTGACCAAAAGTGATGCAAAAAGTGCATTTGATGCTTTACATCACAGCACTCACTTGTATGGTCGTCGTTTAGTTCTTGAATGGGCTGCAACTGAAGAAGATGTATCAGAAATAAGAAAGAGAACTGCACAGGATATTAATGAAGGAACCAATGCTAAACGTAGTAAAAAGGCAATTATGAAAGAAGAAGATTTCATAAAACTTGAAAGTAATAAGGACGATGAGGAAATGGAAAATTATGACTAAGAGAATTCCTATTGTATTAAAATTAAGGATTTATTAAAATACATCAGCTTATTCACAACAAATGACACGACTGACTTAATTTACTTATTTATTTCTCCTTCAGGTTCCCGTCTTGTTGAACTCTGTTCACTATTTTCTTGTAATGATGCACGCTGCAATGCTTTTTGTATTATTTTTACATCCTGATCATTTGAAATACTCGATATTGTCGTTACATCAGATTCATTTTCATCCTTATCGTTGGAATCTTTATTGACTGGCTGGGGATTCAATGTGGGTGTTGAATCTGAATTCGCAAGTGTTGGATCAAGAAGATTTTTAAAGATATTCGGATTGATTAAAGTATCTAAATCATATTTCTTTAATAAATCATCGATAGCAAATTGTGAAGTTTCAGACGAACATCCTGTAATTTGCCGTGTAGGAACACTAGACTGATCTTTTGATGTCGATGGTCGAGATTCTATAATTTTATTAAAATCTTCTTGAAAACATTCTGTTTGTTGCAATAAATTATGTCCAAGATCATCTTCATTCTTTAACCATCCAAAATTCTCTAAATTATCTTCATTGTCGTCCATATCATCGACAGCTGTATTTAAATCTTTTTCAAATTCTTCGTCTGGATCTAAATTTTCATCGGCCGTTACGTCAAAAAGCCGTGCTCTTAATCTTTGTGTTATTTCATCGAGTTCTGTAAATTTTCTCTTAAGAGTACGTGATAATATGTTTGATCCGTCATTTGATGATTCATTGCTACTGATATCAATACTTAATGGCTGCATTAATGGAACTAAAGGAGATGAAGGATTTCTAAATTTATTAACGTCATCCAGTGGCTTTAGAGTAATTTTAATTTGTCCATTTGAACGACCATTAAAATCGATGACATTATAATATCCAGACAGAACTGGCAATCCTGTTAATAAAACACTCAAGTCTATTGCTGAAAATCCAATAACTGAATCTTCAAAAGGAGATGGTTCAATTTTTTGTGGATCATGCGATGGTTTTCTCCATACTTTAATGACAAATTTCTTTTGTGGATTTTTCAAAACATCAAAAGGCACATAAACTTCAAACGATTGGTTCCACTCTGGATTTGTACTTCTAACGACTTTTGTACAATAAACAATTCCTTCATGCGACTTTATTGTATTTTGTGGAAGTGATTTTTCATTCAAATGATCAGTTGTGGCTTCAAATGTTGCATAAGTGTGTGGATCAAATTCAGCCTTTTGTGGTGTAGTTCCTTTATTTTTTCGTTTGTTATTTCGGCACTTTTTGACAATAACTTTTGGAAGATTTGCTGCATGCTCAATTGTCACATTAATTTTTATCGAGTCATTGTTTGGTGTCGCTGAACTTATTGACATGTCAGAATGTTCAGTATGTGCTTGAAACAATGATAAATCTGATTGCGGAGGTGGCTGAGAAAGAGCTTTTTGCAAAGTATCGAGTAACTCGGATGTTTTCCTTAATTGTGGCTGTGAACTTTGTGAACCGACTGATGAATTTGACGAAACTGAAGGTGCTGAGAATTTCTGTTGAATTACTGCAGTGCTTGGTTCAGGTAATTTTTGCGAAAGACTTTCAATAAAGGCAGTTAATTTACTTTTAATTTGAGCGTTTGGATCATAAGGACTTGAACTGTTATTATGTTCCTTTAATTCTTGTTTTTGTGGTGGTTGTAAATTGTGTAGGTTTCTTGACAATTTTAAGAAATCAATTTGATTCTCACTGCCAATTGCCAACAGAATTTTTGCTTGACAAAGAAGCTCACTCGAAAGTGGAGTTACGAAATTGCACCAAGCGTCTGTGGATATAACAGGTAACTTATTTGTACTTAAATGTTCAATCATCTCAATATCTTTAAATGCAATGTAAAACTGATGCAATGGAACTCGCGTCGTTGCTATAAGTTTCTCTGATTTTTCATTTGTCTTCTCCCACAATTTCAGTTCCATAAAGTTGTTTTGAACTTTTTTCAAAAATTCACTGTCGAAAATTACGGCAAATTGCTGTTTGGAAAAAAATAGAATTATATTTAAATTGGGCCAAATAGAATTGTTATTTTATTTGTAATAAATCACCTTTAAGTAGTTCAATATATTGCTGACCGAAACTTCAGTCATTTCTTGACACTCATTCCAAAATCCATCGTAAGTTATGAAATATTCCGAAGAAATTTTCTGATCTTTTGAACTTTTTAATCCCTCAATAAATAAGATTCCTTGATAAACTTTTGCCTTACGAATGCTATCTTTAGCTTCTACGTCGACCATTTCAGTATCACGATTATCGTCAGTTCTGTTCTCTTTTCTCGAACCTTTAGATCTCATCTCATTTTCATCCGTTTGCATGCTTTTGTCAAAGTTTCTTTCTCCCATATTCTCACAATCGTCATTTGATGTACTTGGATGAGACGTTGTTTTCAGTCTTTGATGAGACAATAGTGTCGCTGGTGGACGATATTCAGTATAAACTGAATGACTTTCAATGTTTAGGTCCGTAATTTCAATTTTTAGAGTAACTGACCCAACTCGTACATCATTTTCATTCAATACAGGACACTTTTTAAAAAAGCAGTAATTATTCCTTAATACTTCCTCGATTTTCACACGAGAAAATCCAATGACACGAAATGATGAGTAGCTGTAATTAACAGTTTTCATACAAAACCCAAAATTAAGGTATGTGTTAATTGAATCATCTGATAGCTTAATATTTCTCACAAGATCGTTTGCAAACACTATTCCTATAAAATAACAAAATGAATAGAAAAGTATTATCAGTGTGTGCTACATGTTATGCTATGTTCAAAAAAAAAATGAAACAAATATTTTGCGCCTTTTTTCAATGCTACGCTAGTGCTATGTATACACTTTTATCTAATAAGAACAAACTCGCGTTTTTGCAGCTGAATGAATTCCCTGTTTCGCGAGTAAAAAACTTCAATTAAGCTTTGCATGAAGATGACGCAACGGGCATTTTGCTGCTGATAAGGAAGTTTATCGAGAAACGATATTAAAGAGAACGGTTTAGATTCTCTCAGTATGATTCTTCATCTTGTCAGCGAAGCATCGCATAATGACTCCAAAAGTTTTAATTAAATTCACAATAGCATTCATAATTTTGTGCATTCGGCCGATTTATTGTCGATTGTGCGAAGAGGAGATCGTGGGTTTTAAAAAATTGGGAGTGCATCGTGAGTACGACACGATTCTTTATTATATTCGCAGACATGACAAGCGAAATTAAAGTTCAAGGCCATTTCCGTTTCAATTAATGTTATTATGCAATTTTTAAGATTCGACAGATGTGCAAGGCAATCGCTACATAAAAGTATTTCATTTATCGATGGATTTCGAGGGAAATTGGATGGATTCCAGAAGTTTTTGTAGGACATTCGACATGGATCTTGCGACTTTTGATAGCAGCTATGAATTTTCAAATTTTGTCAAATTTGCTATGGATAAGTCAAGCTATTTTGATAAATGGACTCATATTGGTAAAGCATGGTTTTGTATTATTTTGTTATATAAATTAAATTCACAACTTCAATTAGGTGGAATTTCCAAATTTAACGGGAAGCGAAGAGAATGGTATTGGATAACAACAAATCGGCGAGTGACTTACTCAATGCAATTTGCTGTTGGTCAGGTAATTTTAATCAGTTTTCTTCATGTGGTACGTGCGCGTACCTTAAAAAGTGTATTTTCTATTTTTTAAGCCAAACAATTATCTTGGGAGACAAAACTGCCTGGGAATTTCAAAAGAAGAGAAGACATTTGAGTTCCAAGATATTGACTGCCATGGGAGGTTCGAAGAAAAATTCATATGTCAAAAAATTTGTCCAGGCTACTGATTAAAATGGAAAATAAATGAATTTCTAATTTATGTCTCGTGATATTCGCTCAATTAAAATTCATTCATTCCAGGAAACATTCATTCATCAATAATGGGAATTTCGATTCATAAAAAAAAAACTGTTCAAAAAAGGAAATTTCCCAGTTCTGATTCACATGTTGTGCTTTTGTTTTTCTTATACTTATTTTCAAAAATAAATGCAACATAAAAGCTTTGTGATGTTCAAAATATTTGCTAGTTTGCGAATATCAAACAAAGTGACGAGATGGAACCAAGAAATTTAATTGTTCCTTTTTACATCATTTTACAGTTTTTCATGTGTAATTCACGACTTGTTGGATTTCAAAAACTAGGAAATTATTGTAAGTACATCCTTACAATATTGTGTAATTCAACTATTTCATCATACTTTTGTTCAAGACATCACTGATGAAAAGGGAAATTCTAATGAGAAATTGTACTACATTTCAATTAACTTTCGAGCAAATTGGATCAACTCAAAGAGCTTTTGCACGTCATTCGGAATGAACTTGGTGAGCCTTGAAAGTGATCATGAAGCACAGTATTTTATGAAAGCTTGTGAAAATAACTCAAATAGTTTTGAGGAAATTACTTTCATTGGAGCCACGTCTGAATTTATAGATGGCAATGAAAAGTGGTTTTTAACGACAACAGGAAAGGAAGTGAATTATAAATTGGAGTTATCTGAACCGAAAAATAACGACAATAATCAATGCTTAGCTTTGTATCATATGGATGCGAAATTCTCATACACAAAAGTTAAATGTAATGGACATGAAAATCATAAGTTTATCTGTCAAAAAGTGATCCTTAAACTTGAAAATTGGACTGACATATTTGGGAGGTGAAAAATACTAACAACATTATTTGTTGAGCCTTTATACACAGCTTTGATTCGCACTAGTTAAAGCATGAAAAATATGACTTACTGTGGGATGGAAGATCCGAAATAGATGAAAGAAAATTGAAATTTTCTTTTGATTTTCCAAACAGCTTCGATGTTAATGCACATTTGAAAATAAATTTGGCATTTGAAAAATTGTTAAAGTAATGTTTTACATCCTCATATCCAATTTCATTTAGTTCCAGTACGTTTATTAAAACTTTCAGACATTTCGATTCATCACGTTTTGAAACGGGTTTTGATGACACTTTTGCACTATTCGCTCTAATTCCATCAATAAGACTTTGTGTCGGGGACAATTGTAAAAGATCACTCAAAATTCGATTTTCTTCAGAACTTGTCATTTGCTGCCCTCTTAAGTAATTAATTAACGTTAATTTTCCTATTCCTTCAGACAAATTGTGTTTATTTGACATGTAGATTTCCTTTTCACTGATTGATGAAGTCGTTGTTGATTTATTTGACTCGGCGCGTCTATGATTAATTGATGTTTGTTTTGTCTTCAGAAGGAATGGCTTTTTGGGCTTAGATTCTCTTACTGTAATCGCCATTTTATTGCCAATACATGCAATGCCTTGCAAATTTTCTTTATTCTCTTCCACAATTGCTTTTGATTTACTTATTTTTATCGATTTTTGAAACTTCTGGTTCTCTTTACAGACGTCTTTTTCTGGATTTATCTTTAGAGACACTATTGGCTGTGTTACATCCATCATTGTACAACAATTAATGTTTAATTTGACTTCAAATGAAATTTTAATTTCTCCAAGTTTAAAGTTTCGATTGCTTAAAATATCAACATACACTTGACTTGACGCTTTATTTTCTAGATTATACAATTCCTCGGGAATTTTCACTGACAATTTTCCTATTAAATCTGCTGTTTTTGCAGAGAAAATCTCAATTTGAATTGGTTCACTATTTTTAAGATACGATTGAAACAGCTGATTGTTTGTACAGACTTTGTAAGTTGCTGTTAATATTGTTTTACTGTTTTTTGTTATAGCTGAATACTTAAGACTTTTATTACTTTCTGGTCTTTTAATTTCAACTTTTTCAAATATCCTGGATCTACTTTCTCCCCAAAATTTAATCAATATTTTCACTGTATTATAAGTTTTGGTAGTTGTCCATTTGATTTCGTCAATAAATAACTCACAGAATCCGTGCAATTTTCCAGAAACGTAAGGCGGTAACGAATAATTTTCACTTTTCTCACAAACAGACATTTTTCTCATAAATCATTATTAAATACACTCTCAATTTGCGTCATTTCTTCAACACTGCATATTTCACTGTCCCATAAATGCAATTAAATGCTTTAAAACGTTATATCCACAGTAGATTCTTGATAAATTAATTATGTAGAGGAATTTTTGTTTTGTTATTTTTTACGTTGAAAAATTAGCATAGAATGTTGGTTCCATCAAGAGCTCTTGTCTTAATGTTGTCTGTTTGTCATACACTCGAAAAAAATTCGCTACAAATGAAAATATACTTGATTATTTTTTACTTTTTTGAACAAATCAAAATTGACAAAAATATCAGCAAACTAAGGCTGTTAAATGACAGGATTTCTATGTGACATGATTACATAAAAGGACTATAATCAAACGATTCAAACTTAAATCAAAAATTCGGAAAAAATTTCAGTTATAAAAATATTTGAATTTATCGAGAATAAGATTGCTATTCAAAGAGTTGTTGATCCCCCTAAATGGAATTTTAAAGTTTTTTTGCTCATCATATTTTAATTTATTTTCAGTCTTATAAGACCTATTTCAGTGTATTATTTTGTTATTCCTACTCTTTATGTTAGTCACGAGCAAGTATATATCAAGTGTATCAAATTGGTGCAATAGAATCGGGAAAAAATTTTATTTTATTTTTGTGGACTTTGTTGTGAACTATTTTTAATACGTGAAAAGTGGAATAGATAAGCTTTAAATAGTATTTTAATAGTGGAAAGAATTTTGATGATCAAAAAGATCATAGCTTCATAAAAGAAAATGTATTAATTAGAAGTAAATAAGAGAAAATTAATATTTTATGTAATATTTAAAGAATAATAATCGTCACAAAAACAATGAAAAAACAAGTGTACAACAATCATCAGTGAGAAATAGAATATATAATGATGAAAAATCTTATTGTAAGCTCATAAGAAGAAGGTAGTAAAAAAAGTCAAGTTGGCATAATTTATTCACATCATAATAAGTCGTTTAAAAATAGTTTGTAGCCAAAAAGTAAACAGTAGATGCTTTTATTATAAATGTAAATTAGAGAATCGTGAATGACCAAAAACATACAAACGGTGCTATCTGTAAAATAACAACAACAAAAGCAATAAGAATGAGCTGGCTTAGAAGTTCACCACTTCGTCAGAGTTTTACTCGACGAACACAAGACATCACACAAACTGGAACTGACAGTAAGGCAGTATTTGACTCGTTCTGTAAACATTGGCAACAGGTGAATGAGATCATAAGTCGTTCAGAGGTAAGATACTAAGTTGCTGATAATATCATTGATCAACACAATCGATGAAAAAGAAACAACATAGTTTACAGTTAGGCACAAACAATGTATGGCATTTACGCTACTCTCTTAGAAAATTAGTTCAATTTATTCCATTATAACTCTTTTTATTCGTTTGGTTTAACCATCACATTTCTCCAATCATTTTATATCCAATTTCTTTCTCTTATTCCACCAAGCCCCTCAAAGAGAGTTTCTAAGCAAGTGAAAATCTTATTGTACGGCTGAGTGAATCATAATTGATTTGTGTAAATTCTTTATTACGTTAATTTTAGTTGTTTTCATTGCAATGTGATACTATTGTTAAAAGTCAACCTGGCTTATCAATCTTGACTAGGTAATTTTCGTTAGCCTTTAAATTGTGTGTTTTTATACACTTTCATTGTGTGCTCTTTTTCCGATTCCGTTGTGCCTTCAATTATAAATGTTTCACAGTATATCGCCTACGATAAAAAAATTATCTAATTATTACTTTTTTATTCGTATACATTCATTGTAGAATCGTCAAACACAACACGACGATGTTTTAGCCGTTGTGAATCATCTTGATCAGATGGTGACATTGTTACTTGTTGAACTACATAATTGTAATAAAATTACATTACCGAATGCACAACAACCACCAGCACCATGCTTAGAATTTATGTTAAGTGAGAATTTATTGGATAGACTTTTTGAATGGAGTTTAAGTACCGGAAGATATTCGAACGGTGTTCGTTTAAAACAATTAAAGCTTTACGAATTGCTCGTTTCCCATTCGCGACATCAATTGCTTGTTCATGAGCCATTCTTAAGGCCACTTTTGAAGCTTTTGGCATCATGTCAAAATGAAATATTCCCAGATGATGTGAGCAAGAGACTTGTCATACTTTTAAATCAACTTTGTGTTGTTTTGATGCAAAATGTTCATCTGTTGGACCTGTTCTTTTGCTCAACGCAACAACATGGACAACAAATAAGTGGCGCAAATCAAACAAATTTCATCATTTTTTCGCTTCTGATTCCTTTTGTTCACTGTGACGGATCGATCGGACATCAAGCGAGAGACGCTCTATTACTGTGCATGTCATTATCGCAAAAGAATTCAAATATCGGAACATATATTGCAAATCATTCGTCAATGTCACCCGTCTTAGTAACTGGCTTATGCGGTCTCTATTCATCATTGCCCAATTCTATAGATATTCAATCAATTGATTGGTTTCGCATTACAGCCGACGATGTTAATGAAATGCCCGAACTTACACTCTTTATGAATTCTCTAGAATTCTGCAATGCTGTTGTTCAAGTTGCACATCCTCTTATTCGTGAACAGTTGCTTGATTTCCTTTATCAAGGATTTCTTGTGCCTGTTCTCGGACCTGCAATATTACAAGTAAGTTTTATATTTTAATAATACTCTTCTTCCTCTATTTTTTGTGTTTTTTTCCTTAATTTTAAATAATTTTCATTGTTAAAGTTTGTTTCTTTCATAAAATTGGATTTGTGAAACTTATTCATGTACATATTGATGATTGGTGATGGCATTAAAAACTCTTTAACGTGTAATTTTATCTAATAGATTGATGTTTTTCTTTAAAAGATCAAAGGAACTGGTGATTGGTGACTAATAATTAGTAATAATTGTTCAAACATCCATAAAATGCTGAACGCTTTCCGAAAAAAAAACCTTTTAAAAGCAATCATTTATTGGTTTTTTGAGATAATCTATAAAAAAAAAAAAACGTAAGCTTATCTACTAGCTACACATCTTCTCCTCTCTCTCTTCTACATACATGCTTATAATTGCTTTTAAATCATACAAAAGTTAAAATGAATAATTTTACTAATCCAATTTTATTTTTTAATTTTCTTCATAATCATTCGGAACAACTTACTTCCGAATAATAATTCTTCCTCTAAAAAAAAACACAAAAAAAATAATTTGAAAAAATTGTGAAAATAGAAACTTAAAGGAAGTCATTTGCAGACAAACATCGAGTCACAAATCGCTGCAATGGTTTATCTAGACTTGATACTTAGATCTGTGACTGATCCAGGACTTTTGAAAATCATGATAAAGTTTCTGCTTGATGATGAGAAATTCGATGGCGAGAGGATATTGGACATATTGATCGATAGAATTAATTCGCATGATTCACGTGTAAGATACTTTTCATTCAAATTAATTGATTTTATGTAATTTTATTGTTTTTTTTTCTTCTTACTTTTCCTTAAGTTATGTATGGTAACTCTCGCATTGTTCTATACAATGTTAGGATTGTATAATGAACAGCTAATAATGGAATTAATTCTCAAGTATTTAATTGGAGCAACACATATCCCAATTGCACAAAAACACAAGATTAATAAGATTCATTCGTATGCAAAAACTGTTGATTATTTCCTTGAATTGGCACCAGAAGCAATGAAGAATTCAAACATGATAATAGCTGAACATAAGTCTCTAGATTATCAACAGCCTTCATCGCTTCCAATTCAATCAAATAATAATTCGATAAGTAGAACGATAGGTGCTAATTGGAATCATTATGGACTTCATAATACGGGAGAATCACTTTATTCCAATTATCATGCATATCTATATGATGCGCATCAAAAAATTAAACGGATAAAGCAATCATGCGATCAATGGACTGACAATTACTTCTACAAGAGTCCCCAAAAAGAAAAGCGTCTAAATGCTATAAAGCCAAATGAACAATTAGTACAAATGATTCAAAACTTTTTAACCGAATTTAGTATAGAGCCAAATACGATGATGACGACGACTAAATCGACAGCAATGACAGGCAATAGTGAAGAAGCGATAAATAGCAATAATGTTTCGAGCTCAAGCAAACAGTTAGACAGTCTTCAATCTATTGGAGAAAGTAGCGGTTATGAAAGTATGAAATATCGTCCAGACGATGACGAAGATCAAAGTGCCGACATCTCCCAAAAAAATCAGAGCCAAATCTCCGACAGCATTCAAATTAGCACAACAATAAACAGCAATGTAACAATAGTAAAGAATATCGAACCATGGAGAATGTCACGATTTAAAGACGAACAGAAAATTGAGTTGGAATTGACTGAGGATGCTTTCATGCAAGGGACCGTCAGCTTAGGTATATTTAAATGTTTTTTTTTTTTTATAATTTGTTATTAATTATTTCGTTACACCATCTAGGTCCCTTTCTGACATCCATCTGGAGTAAACTGCAGACATTTACAAGCAATTTGTTGTACGTTAATCTTCATTTGACAGGCTTAATTTCTCACATTGCTTTATATCCATTACCTATTGTACATTCAATTCTACTCCGTCCGGATATTCCAACCACGAGTGATTCATTTTATCAAGTCTTAAAGATTTTAAAGCAACAAATCGATGCCGAATTACCATTGACTGAAGATTCATTAGAACTGATTGATATCGGTCGAACATTTTTAATTGATCGTGAATTTAAGCTAATTAATGCCCGTAAAATTGCACTAGAATCATTAAAGACATCAAGTAAGGGAACAAGCACATCACAACTTTCAACATCACAAACAGGCACCATTCAAGCATCACATTTACAATCATATGATCCTTTTAAGCGACAAGATGAGAAACGAAAGTCATCTGGCAATTCGATTATGAATATATTCCGAAGATCAGCAGCAGCTCCTTCATCATCACAACAACATAATAATAATAATAGCAATAGCATGAATAGTGGAACTAATCAGGGTAAGTGTTTTCTGTTTGCCTTATGTTTACAGATATTTAACTTTTCTTCTTCTATGATTGGGAATCATAACTGCACCAAAAAAAACACTAATCTTTAAAAAATTGATAAAGATAATGGAACTTTGTGTCTATAATAAACAAATTTTTTTAATTCATTTCAATACTCTATATACATATTACACAGCTCATACATCGGGTTTTGCACAAATCTATGGTTTTTTAGCCGGTAATTATCATGCAATTAAGACTTTGTGAGAGAAATTTTTTCTTTCTTTTTCGCGTTACTTGATGTCTGCTAATTGAATTAGAGGTTGCAGAACATAAGAAAAGTAAAATTATTTATGAAATGAATGAAAAAAGAAAGAAAAAGAAGTATAATACTAATAATATATAAAAAAAATTGTTGTTATGAAAGCATGATGTGATGTAGTTGCATGATTGGAAACAGCAAAAAAATATACTATCATAATGTCTTCAACCTAATTCAGTCTTTTTTTTTTTCATTTTTCGTTACTGATAAATCTAACAAGTTTCATTAGCTGTGAGTCATTTTGATGTAGTTGCTTTCTGCATGCGAATACTTATTTGTTATAACTTTCTGTTTTCTATTATTTCGATTTGATGACTTTCAAATAATGATTTTGATTAATTTAACAAGCATCACCGGTTTTATTGGATCCGAGCTAAATCCATAAACATGGAAGATGCGTTGAATGTAGGATACTAACAGCATGTTCAATTGATATGACTCGTAATCTTACTAAACAATTGCTAATTTCAAATTAACTGGTTATTTTTTTTGTGTTTAGCTTTCTATTTTTTTTGTCAATTTATTCATGGGATCTTTTATTAATCGATGAATTTTCTATCCAAAAGGTATGGCGACAAATCTTCGTGACCAGCCAAATTCTCTAGAATTGCAACCCACGATGAATGACTCTAGTGCTTTAATATTAAATGTTAACGAAAGACATCGAGACTTAGCAATATCAGCTGTAGTTATGGACGAATTCTTGAAAGAATTATCAGCAATTTCTCAAGAAATGTCAATTGTGTTATTAAATGAAAACTTTATGCGATGATTGTTTTTATTACCTATTATGTATTTAACATATAAAGTGAATTTATATTTACATTGAATGATATTTTTTTGCCCCAAAACATTAATTCCTTCTTTTTTTCTCAAAGAATAATACAATTAATAAAAATTTTGTATATTTTTTCGTAACGAACTTTAAATTTTTGAATTTATAATTGAGTCACTGGAATCGTCATTTTCAAGTGTCTGTGCCTGATCATTTCCAAGTCCACATTTTTTCAGAAAATATATTGCAAAAAGTCAAAAGAAATAATTATTCAAAGTATTTTGGCATAGAAAATACAAGATGAGTTCCAAAAGAGGTGATATGCAGAGAGTTCGTGCTCAAAAGCATCAGAATAAAACGATTTTTAAGAACGATTTGCATGATAACAGTGATAGAACGAAAAAACTCAATGCAATGTCTATAAATGAAGTTTGTCAACATTGTAGTGATGTGATCCAGTGGAAGATTAGATACAGAAAATACAAGGCTCTGACAAAGCCAAGTACCTGCAATAAGTAATATTAATCTATTTAAATTATGCTTAAATAATTAAACATCCCTAATAATTTCAGGTGCAATCAACGGAATGTAAAGAAAGCTTATCATGTATTGTGTAGGAATTGTGCATTGTCCTCTAAACAGTGTGCTAAATGCTTAAAAACTGAAGAGGATGGTATAGAATTAATTCCTCCGGAACCAACAGCTGCGGAAAAACTTAAAATGGATATTGAATTCAAACATATGATTAAATGTTTGTCAGAGAGAAAACGTCGGACATTCCTAAGATATATGAATGGAAAGAAAAAGAAGAAGACAGAGGATGATGACGAGGAACCAACAGAACTGGAGGAAAGGCCCAAAACAAGACCAACACGTGAACAACTGCTTGATAAACTCGCGAAATTGAAAGTTTCAGAAAAGGATGAAGATTTCTATGGTGACATTAACAGCAGCGGTGATGAATATGAGGATGATGGCGAACAAGAATGGGAATCAGATGATGAAGAAAATACAGCATAAATTTAATAAAATTGAAATTTTTTATTCGTGGAGCTGAGTTTTGCTCAGTATTGCTCAGTTCTTTTTTAATTATAGTTTAAATGATAATAAACAGGAAATAAAATATAAATTTAAAAGTTTTGAATTGCGAATGATTTGTGTTGTATGTTAAGGATCAAAAATTTAAGCCAGACTTCTTTTCACAGCATTCATCATCATCCTTTTGAAACAAACCAGACAATCCTGGATCAACTGGTTCTTCAGTCACTAGCACTTGCTAAATCTTCTTGAGCTTGTTTTGCTTCATTTTTATCGCCAAAATAGACAGTTTAATCAATACGTATCAAAAACTTTGTATAGTCTCACATTGCCTGAATTTAGTATACCAGCCAGTCTAGAAATTGATCAATTAGCTTCTCATTTAATTCAGATTCATCCACAATTGTTACATATCGTCCTAATGTTGTTGTTGACGCTCGAGCCCTTCCTGTGGTAATAAAATGTGTATCAACACGTGATTCACAAATTTAACGGTTTTTAAAAAGTTTTATCATAGAATTATTTCATGTGTTCTTTATTTAATTTCTCTATTAAGCAGACCATTAAAAAAATTAATGCAAGTTTGAACAAACTTTGCCATTGGAATCAGATGATGAAGATCCAGCATAAATTTAATTTTTCTTCTTCTTTGAGTTGCTGAGTTTTGCTCAGTATTGCTCGTTTTTTTTTCTTCAAATAAAAAAAGTAAACATAAAAGTTTCATCGCAGTTTTCTCTTAATTAAAGCATATTCCTGCAGTTTACCTTATAACAAGCAGAACTATCAAGCAGTTAATGTTAAAATCAATTGAAAATGGATGGATTAATTAAGCAGGAATATGAAAATTCATTAGTTTACACAATTGATAACAATACAGAACTAGAGTTTCTTGATCGAAAGACAATTTTAGTAATTGATAAGGACAGGTTTCTTGTATGCAAGCAGTTTATGCTTGAAAATGCACCAGGTAAGTTAAATGATTATAAATTAGCATCCAAAATTAGAAGTTACAGTAATAAATTCGTATTTAGATGAGGATTATGCTGAATTTCTGAATATTCCTACTGAAAAAGTTCGGTATTTCAAACATAAAATGCAAATCTTTGAAGATTCCATTAGAGCTCGGAGACGAGCAGCACGATTAAATGCTCAACGACGAAAAAAGATTAAACCAGTGAGAAAGAAGCGAGAAATTTCATCTGAGGAACGATTTAAAAAGGCAAGAGAATTAATTAGTAAGAATCACAGTACAAATCAGATATCCAAGATTCTAAGGATTAGTGAGCGGTCTGTAACGAGATTTAAAAAGAGAATTAGAGAAGAAAAACAAAAATTGAAAGCTGAAGGCAAGATCCAGAGCAGTCCAAATGATCCAGACGATGATGATTCATTTAAATATCTTTCACAAACTGAAAAAATTAAGCGTGCTAAGGAACTCTTTCATAAGCAATTAAAAATTCAAGATATATCGGAAATACTTCAAATTAGTGAGCGAAGTGTTCGACGTTGGAAAGATCGTATTACGAAAATTGAACTAGATGAGACGTTGATGGAATCAGTAAAGTCTGAAAATGTCTCAAAAACCAAGGAAAACAAAATGGACAGTGATATAGAAGACATGAAGCCAAAGCGTAAACGAAGAGCTTATTTAGATCGTGATAAGGTCCAATACGCAACAGAATTAATTGAAAATGGGCTGAGCAATAAGGAAATGTCAATGCTTTTGGAAATGTCAATAGCATGTGTACGAAAATTAAAGACTAAAATCTTGAATGGAACTGCAGAAGAACTAATTGATGATAGTGAGGAACACTATAAACGAGTTAATAGTTCACAAGAAGAAATTGGAAGTGATCCTTTAAATGTTTCACCTCAAATAGTCATGCCAACAATCTCACCAAAAATGGCTTGTGAAAGGAAGCCAAAAGTTGCTCTTAGTGATAGAGACATGTACATTGTAAGACTCCTGCGTGACAATGAAATTAGGACAATGGATATAGCAAAAATGATAGGAATTAGTGAACGATCTGTGACTCGACTGTTGTCAAAATCAAGAGAACTTACGGTAATCGAGTATGATCAAGACATTTTACGAGAGGTGGAACGACTTATATCGTCCAAAGATATGATATTAAATGAAGTCGTCAATGAGTCAATTACTGATGTTTGTGATGAATCTAAGGAAAATATAGGTTTAAGTTTGCTAGCTATGAATGTCAAGGTAATTACTTATTGATAATTTATGCATGTATGGTTTGAATAATTATTTATTGTGGTTGTAGACAAAGGACATAGCAAAAATGCTGGATGTTGGAGAGAAAATCGTACATAAATGGAAGTCAAAGATGATTAAAACTGAAATAAAAGACGAGGAAGTAGAGGAATATGAAAATAATGATCTTCAAGTCAGTAATGAATATGTAGTTGAATACCTAGAATAATGTACTAATATGAATTTGTTGGCACCTAATAAAAGAGAGAATTAATATAGCAAACAATTTTTTGGATGTTTATTTCTTTTATCATGGACAATGTTGTTTTATTTCTTAGCATAAGTTCTTCGTTACAAATTTGTTTATGCTCTTAAAATGCAAGCTCCTCCGGCTGCCTTGATTTTGTTTTCAGCTTTCTGTGAGAAGTATTTAGCTTTAACAATAATTGGCTGTTTTGGAATATGCCCACGACCCAACAGTTTGTAGTAGCCCTAAAATGGAAATAAAGTATAGCATTAGTGATCTGATAAACAGAGCTTGTGCAAAGTAACATAATTTGTTGATTTAATCAGAAATGAACAATCTACATTATTGGTGCAATTTTGTACGTTTTGCTTAAGACCGCCCGATCGTATTATCATCATTTTAATTATGCTATAAATTGCTTCCGATTGAAATAGTTTGAAACTTACGAATTGAACGATATCAATAACTGGAACTTTGTCGCCTTCCTTCTTTGCCTTTTCGTAGTTGTCTTGTCCAACAAGAGCCCATAATTTATCAAGGTTTAGTGTTGGGCAGAAATCATGATTACGATTAAGATGGAAGTTTCTCATACCGACTTTTCCAAAGTATCCAGGATGGTATTTATCAAAGTTTATTCTATGATGATGCATACCACCAGCATTACCGCGACCACCAGAATGCTTTCGGTGTTTACCTGTAAATTGGATGTTTGAAAAAAAGGAGAAAAAGCATTAAAACTGGATTCGTAAACATAACCTAAGATTTTTTTTTGTAATGATTTTAAAAACTTAATTACTTTAACTTACCGATTCTACCATGACCGTGGCTGACATGACCACGAAGCTTTCTGGTCTTCTTTCTCTTAATGAGTGACTATAAAGGATATAAAACAATGAATTAGTCTATATCACAATGAAAACTTTACATTTGCATAATTTATCGATAAATCTGCATAAATTGGAGCAGCATTCGATCAATTATGGTAAAGTCTATCACTATTTACAATATTCTAAACTATTTAACTTAATTAAGTAGCTAAACCTTGTATTTTTTAATAATTTTAAGGAACTATACGTACAACCATGTTTGCTGATTTCGATGAAAAGAAAGATCTTAGAGAGTGCGTTCAGTACGTTCGATGTTTTTCTATGTGAAATAATTTTTTAAACGATCAAAAATACGTTAAAAAATGAAGCTTTTGTATCTAGAGACTATAATTAATTAAATCCAACTTAGTCGCAATAAAGCTTTACTTTCGATAACACACAATATTCAGCAAAGAGCATAATTATGAAAATTTTATTGTTCTTAATTATATTCACATCAGTTTATTGCTATCCACAAAATGGAATTTATGTAGGATTAAAGCACATCAGCAAGTTTAATGGGATATCAAGTGAAGGTGTTGAGTATGTAAAGAATTATTACATCTCTCAATATCTAAAGACGACAGCAGTTAATGCTAGAAGTGCTTGCAAAAGTTATTCTAAAGACATGGATTTGGTAGCATTAGAGACACGTGAGGAATTTATGAAAATAAGAACAAAATTAAGTGCTGTAATCGGACAGGATCCAGTAATTGTTGGCGGTTTTGCACACAAGTTAAATAATAAATTTGATTATTATTGGATATCATCATCAACGAAGATTGACTATACATATGATGCATCAAGAGGGGAAAATTGTTTAGCATTGCAAAATGAAGGTGCTATCGGGTACATTCGAATTAACTGCGATGGAAGTCATTTATTTATCTGTCAAGATGTAGAATATCAATATGCAAACTAAGAGTTCAAATGTTAAATAATTAAGTTTCTTTATTTCCATAAATTAAATAAATTTTACAATTAAAATATTCATTTTATTTTTTGTTGCTGCTTAAAATTCAAAACGTGACTGATTTTGGTTCTATCGAAAAGACATAGGTAAGATGTGGCAAAGTAAGGTAGTAATGATAAAGAAATTAAAGTAAAATAAAAAATAGGTAAGAAAAGTTTGAGAGTAATGAAAATTCGTAGAAAAAGAATGGCTTATGTTCTATAGATATTTTATGTATGGGTTTATGAGGTACATTCAAAAATTGGCAAATTTTTGAGCTATTGTTTGTATATGGTAAAAAATTGTTCAACAAATAAAATTGTAATATTATCGAACACAATGGATATCGGTCCCTAAAATACTCATTGTCCTACTTTTCATGATTTTAATTGAATTGATGTCGAAAAAGTGTCATTTAATTGAGCACACTCTATGAAATGTAGGATAAATGAGAATTGAGATGACACAAAATGATATTGAGAACGAAGATGTCCATTAGATATTCGATAATTCCCTGACTATTGCATTGTATATGGATGTGTATGTTGTGTATATGAAGAAAAAAGACTATTGTAAATATGTGGTAATTTTAATGTTAAATCACTTCCTCATATCTCTCCCGGCATCTTTTCCATATTTCTGAAGACCCTTGCATTTTCCTTAATTAACAGCATGATTGTTATTATAGAAACCAGAAACCACAAAAGGATTTTTCTTCAGAAATATGAAGAAAATAATTAACGAGATAGAAAGGAGCGCGATTGTAACTCGTTTAACCTGAAGATTATTTGCTATTGTACTGTGTGAATTATAAGTGAACTATGGAGGGATTTTTTGATTATGTTGCAGTACCAAATTCATGATGTTTTCAAATATACCACCATAATGTATGAAAATGTCTCGGATAGATGAAAAATTAGTATGTGTACTTTAACATGAGTATGTCACTTAATATCTAAATTGTCTTATTAACTAATGATGAGTTCCAATTAAAATTTAAGCAACAAAATCCAATGGCCTATTGAAGCCTCCTTTACGATTCATATATTGTCTAAAGGAGAAAGTGAGGCATTGCAAATTAATGTTATATTCAGTTTTTAATATAACAAGAACAAACCTATATTTACGCTTTAAAATCACATGGACTTCGCCTGCATTGTTCCCGTCTACCTTCTTTCCTTTTGTCGTATCAAACCCACAGAAGCCCATGATTTTCATCATCTCAATTTCGTCGGGTGTTTTTCCTTCTAAATCGGAAGCTGACACATTGACAGTTGAAATTTTGGATTTAGATGCTGATGGATATGGTGAACGGTGCCTTCTTTCAAACGAGCGAGATCTAGATCTATATTGATTTTAAATATATAAGGAAAATATCATTAGAAAGAGGGAAATGGATATTGTATTATACTTGGGTCACTCAAAAAATAGTTAAATAGTTTGGAGAAGAAAAATCGTTAATACACTACACTAGAAAAAAACCATGTTAGTGATTATGGGTGTTATTGGTTGATTGATGGATTGAGGGCTTTATTTATTTATTCACCTAGAGCGAGATCGACGGCTATGTCTAACATCTTCTCTGCTTTCAGACCGTCTCCTTTTTTCACGACGACTAGTTCTATTATCATCTCTACTTTCTGATCTCCTTTCACTCCTTTTCCTCTTTGATTTCTCTTTAGCTCGCTTACGTCTCACTGGACTGACTGATCTCGATCGCGATCTTCCCATTTAACAGAAATCTGATGTTATAAATGTGTAACAAAAATAATAAACGTTTAGGAAAATCATGAAAACATTAAGTACTTAATCGATAGAAATTGAGTAAACTTGATAGAAGACTGAAGAGCAATACACTACCACTCACATTTTAGGCACTAATAACAATGTTTTGTCCACCAAACTCCTCGAAATAAAACGAAAAACTGCAGTTCCAATAATGATTCTTTTTCAACAAATTTATAGACTAAAATACTAAACGCAGTCCATAATTTTAAAAATTTTTTAACGGTTTTTTAAACAAACAAGTGTATCGGGTAGAAACCTAATGCGGCCATATTCACACCGTACCATCAAGAGTTTTATGGATAGACATAGATTTGCTCTGCATAAGATTGCAGGTGTAAAGCTTGATGAGTCATAAGTTTGAAGGGATAAAGCTAGCGAGTCAGCTGAGCTTCGCTCAGCATATGTAAGTGTGAAGGTATAAAGCTAGCGAATCAGAAACTTTGCATAAATATTCTAGTGCTTAAAACAAATACAAATAAAACATCTTAAAATTTTTTTGAGCAAAGAACCAAGTAGGAAACTAGATTTTGACTAGACCTGTCCCAGGTTCAGAATTGAAAATGTATTTCCTACTTGGTTCTTTGCTCAAAAAATTTTAGGACGTTTTACTTGTATTTGTTTTAAGCACTAAAACATTTATGCAAAGTTTCAATCCATTTGGATAAACCCTCGAAGAAAAAAGTGACAAAAATGATTTTGACTAGGGTCGCCCCTAGTCCAAAATTGAAAATGTATTTCCTACTTGGTTCTTTGCTCAAAAAATTTTAGGATGTTTTACTTGTATTTGTTTTAAGCACTAGAATATTTATGCAAAGTTTCAATCCATTTGGATAAACCCTCAAAGAAAAAAGTGACAAAATTGATTTTGACTAGGGTCGCCCCTAGTCCAAAATTGAAAATGTATTTCCTACTTGGTTCTTTGCTCAAAAAAATTTTAAGATGTTTTATTTGTATTTGTTTTAAGCACTAGAATATTTATGCAAAGTTTCAATCCATTTGGATAAACCCTCAAAGAAAAAAGTGACAAAATTGATTTTGACTAGGGTCGCCCCTAGTCCAAAATTAAAAATGTATTTCCTACTTGGTTCTTTGCTCAAAAAAATTTTAGAATGTTTTATTTGTATTTGTTTTAAGCACTAGAATATTTATGCAAAGTTTCAATCCATTTGGATAAACCCTCAAAGAAAAAAGTGACAAAATTGATTTTGACTAGGGTCGCCCCTAGTCCAAAATTGAAAATGTATTTCCTACTTGGTTCTTTGCTCAAAAAAAATTTGGGATGTTTTATTTGTATTTGTTTTAAGCATTTGAATATTTATGCAAAGTTTCAATCCATTTGGATAAACCCTCGAAGAAAAAAGTGACAAAATTGATTTTGACTAGGGTCGCCCCTAGTCCAAAATTGAAAATGTATTTCCTACTTGGTTCTTTGCTCAAAAAAATTTTAGGATGTTTTATTTGTATTTGTTTTAAGCACCAAAATATTTATGCAAAGTTTCAATCCATTTGACTATGGTCGCCCCTAGTCCAAAATTGAAAATGTATTTCCTACTTGGTTCGTTGCTCAAAAATTTTAGAATGTTTTATTTGTATTTGTTTTAAGCACTAGAATATTTATGCAAAGTTTCAATCCATTTGGATAAACCCTCAAAGAAAAAAGTGACAAAATTGATTTTGACTAGGGTCGCCCCTAGTCCAAAATTGAAAATGTATTTCCTACTTGGTTCTTTGCTCAAAAAAAATTTGGGATGTTTTATTTGTATTTGTTTTAAGCATTTGAATATTTATGCAAAGTTTCAATCCATTTGGATAAACCCTCGAAGAAAAAAGTGACAAAATTGATTTTGACTAGGGTCGCCCCTAGTCCAAAATTGAAAATGTATTTCCTACTTGGTTCTTTGCTCAAAAAAATTTTAGGATGTTTTATTTGTATTTGTTTTAAGCACCAAAATATTTATGCAAAGTTTCAATCCATTTGACTATGGTCGCCCCTAGTCCAAAATTGAAAATGTATTTCCTACTTGGTTCGTTGCTCAAAAATTTTAGAATGTTTTATTTGTATTTGTTTTAAGCACTAGAATATTTATGCAAAGTTTCAATCCATTTGGATAAACCCTCAAAGAAAAAAGTGACAAAATTGATTTTGACTAGGGTCGCCCCTAGTCCAAAATTGAAAATGTATTTCCTACTTGGTTCTTTGCTCAAAAAAAATTTGGGATGTTTTATTTGTATTTGTTTTAAGCATTTGAATATTTATGCAAAGTTTCAATCCATTTGGATAAACCCTCGAAGAAAAAAGTGACAAAATTGATTTTGACTAGGGTCGCCCCTAGTCCAAAATTGAAAATGTATTTCCTACTTGGTTCTTTGCTCAAAAAAATTTTAGGATGTTTTATTTGTATTTGTTTTAAGCACTAGAATATTTATGCAAAGTTTCAATCCATTTGGATAAACCCTCAAAGAAAAAAGTGACAAAATTGATTTTGACTAGGGTCGCCCCTAGTCCAAAATTAAAAATGTATTTCCTACTTGGTTCTTTGCTCAAAAAAATTTTAGAATGTTTTATTTGTATTTGTTTTAAGCACTAGAATATTTATGCAAAGTTTCAATCCATTTGGATAAACCCTCAAAGAAAAAAGTGACAAAATTGATTTTGACTAGGGTCGCCCCTAGTCCAAAATTGAAAATGTATTTCCTACTTGGTTCTTTGCTCAAAAAAAATTTGGGATGTTTTATTTGTATTTGTTTTAAGCATTTGAATATTTATGCAAAGTTTCAATCCATTTGGATAAACCCTCGAAGAAAAAAGTGACAAAATTGATTTTGACTAGGGTCGCCCCTAGTCCAAAATTGAAAATGTATTTCCTACTTGGTTCTTTGCTCAAAAAAATTTTAGGATGTTTTATTTGTATTTGTTTTAAGCACCAAAATATTTATGCAAAGTTTCAATCCATTTGACTATGGTCGCCCCTAGTCCAAAATTGAAAATGTATTTCCTACTTGGTTCGTTGCTCAAAAATTTTAGAATGTTTTATTTGTATTTGTTTTAAGCACTAGAATATTTATGCAAAGTTTCAATCCATTTGGATAAACCCTCAAAGTAAAAAGTGAGAAAATTGATTTTGACTAGGGTCGCCCTCAGTCCAAAATTGAAAATGTATTTCCTGCTTGGTTCTTTGCTCAAAAAAATTTTAAGATGTTTTATTTATATTTGTTTTAAGCACTAGAATATTTATGCAAAGTTTCAATCCATTTGGATAAACCCTCAAAGTAAAAAGTGAGAAAATTGATTTTGACTAGGGTCGCCCCTAGTCCAAAATTGAAAATGTATTTCCTACTTGGTTCTTTGCTCAAAAAAATTTTAGAATATTTTATTTGTATTTGTTTTAAGCACTAAAATATTTATGCAAAGTTTCAATCCATTTGGATAAACCCTCAAAGTAAAAAGTGAGAAAATTGATTTTGACTAGGGTCGCCCCTAGTCCAAAATTGAAAATGTATTTCCTACTTGGTTCTTTGCTCAAAAAAATTTTAGAATATTTCATTTGTATTTGTTTTAAGCACTAAAATATTTATGCAAAGTTTCAATCCATTTGGATAAACCCCCGAAGAAAAAAGTGACAAAATTGATTTTGACTAGGATCGCCCCTAGTCCAAAATTCCTACTTGGTTCTTTGCTCCAAAAATTTTAGGATGTTTTATTTGTATTTGTTTTAAGCACTAAAATATTTATGCAAAGTTTCAATCCATTTGTATAAACTCTCGAAGAAAAAAGTGACAAAATTGATTTTGACTAGGATCGCCCCCAGTCCAAAATTGAAAATGTATTTCCTACTTGGTTCTTTGCTCAAAAAAATTTTAAGATGTTTTATTTATATTTGTTTTAAGCACTAGAATATTTATGCAAAGTTTCAATCCATTTGGATAAACCCTCGAAGAAAAAAGTGACAAAATTGATTTTGACTAGGGTCGCCCCCAGTCCAAAATTGAAAATGTATTTCCTGCTTGGTTCTTTGCTCAAAAAAATTTTAAGATGTTTTATTTATATTTGTTTTAAGCACTAGAATATTTATGCAAAGTTTCAATCCATTTGGATAAACCCTCAAAGTAAAAAGTGAGAAAATTGATTTTGACTAGGGTCGCCCCTAGTCCAAAATTGAAAATGTATTTCCTACTTAGTTCTTTGCTCAAAAAAATTTTAGAATATTTTATTTGTATTTGTTTTAAGCACTAGAATATTTATGCAAAGTTTCAATCCATTTGGATAAACCCTCAAAGAAAAAAGTGACAAAATTGATTTTGACTAGGGTCGCCCCTAGTCCAAAATTGAAAATGTATTTCCTCCTTGGTTCTTTGCTCAAAAAATTTTTAAGATGTTTTATTTTTATTTGTTTTAAGCATTAAAATATTTATGCAAAGTTTCAATCCATTTGGATAAACTCTCGAAGAAAAAAGTGAGAAAATTGATTTTGACTAAGGTCGCCCCTAGTCCGAAATTGAAAATGAATTTCCTACTTGGTTCTTTGCTCAAAAAATTTTAAGATGTTTTATTTTTATTTGTTTTAAGCATTAAAATATTTATGCAAAGTTTCAATCCATTTGGATAAACCCTCAAAGTAAAAAGTGAGAAAATTGATTTTGACTAGGGTCGCCCCTAGTCCAAAATTGAAAATGTATTTCCTACTTAGTTCTTTGCTCAAAAAAATTTTAGAATATTTTATTTGTATTTGTTTTAAGCACTAGAATATTTATGCAAAGTTTCAATCCATTTGGATAAACCCTCAAAGAAAAAAGTGACAAAATTGATTTTGACTAGGGTCGCCCCTAGTCCAAAATTGAAAATGTATTTCCTCCTTGGTTCTTTGCTCAAAAAATTTTTAAGATGTTTTATTTTTATTTGTTTTAAGCATTAAAATATTTATGCAAAGTTTCAATCCATTTGGATAAACCCTCAAAGAAAAAAGTGACAAAATTGATTTTGACTAGGGTCGCACCTAGTCCAAAATTGAAAATGTATTTCTTTCTTGGTTCTTTGCTCAAAAAATTTTAAGATGTTTTATTTGTATTTGTTTAAGCACTAGAATATTTATGCAAAGTTTCAATCCATTTGGATAAACTCTCGAAGAAAAAAGTGAGAAAATTGATTTTGACTAAGGTCGCCCCTAGTCCGAAATTGAAAATGAATTTCCTACTTGGTTCTTTGCTCAAAAAATTTTGGGATGTTTTGTTTGTATTTGTTTTAAGCACTAGAATATTTATGCAAAGTTTAATTTAAAAAAAATCACAGTGAACTTTTAATTTAAAAAATTCGTAAGAAAGGAAAGTTTTTTGCTTTTTCTGAAGCAACGGCTGTTCCTACCTTGCCCAAAAACAATTCGGCTCTTCTATAGAGCAGCACGGATCAAATGTAAAAAACTAGAAGTCTCTACGATGTCTCGTTATTGAGATTTCTTGCATGCTTGTTTGCTTGCTTACAGAAAGCGTATTTTGCGATTTTCTCAGCAATGCCTCAACCAATTTGAAATCAGGTTTTTGCAAATGACGTAAAATTTCAGGCACAAACTTTTTTTCTCGGACCTTTTATAACCAATTTTGCTTCATTTTCTCACAAAATGCGAAAAACTGATTTTTCAATTTGAACAAAACCAATAGATTCACACGTGAAAACGGTGTGAATATAATAAATTGAAATTTAGAGTGCGTTTTGTGAGTCGAATAATTATGGAAATTTAAACTTTTTTACTATAATTAAGTGTTTTAAGTGTATTAAAGTGATAAGAATTATTGAATAACGTAAAAAGCTGTTTCAAAAACATCAAGAGAGTGACAATAACAAGGCTGCAAGGGAAATAAATTTCTACAAGGGTTTTTTTATAAAAAACTTGGGCGTAAAAGTAAAATTCATAAATTAATTTTATCAGTGTTTTAAGTTTATTTCTTGAGAAAAACTAACGAAAACAGTTGCATGACGAGGGATATAATTGGATAAGATCAAAATTGTGAGTAAATAGATGAAAATTTGTCTGAAAAAATGCATTTAAAGAAAATGAACTCGGTTTAATGCTTAAATTTATCAAGAAGTGATGTCACCGTAAGAAAAATTGAGAGAAATACCATTTCGATTGATAACGTGATCATTATCATTCATAAGTTTTCAACAAGACTTACTAGAGTATACTCCAATATGTGCATGATCATTTTTTATCTATCTACACTTGATAATTATTTTTTATTAGACTTTATCGAATTTATTATTTATTTTTCTTCTTCATTTATTTACTCACTCACTCAACCAACAACCTATTCTCTTGATTCTCTTTTTTTGCCGGTTCTTATATACTTGCTTTTTTCCATCATCGCTGCTATTTGTTTCGTATGAGTTAGTTTCTTTTTTGCTCGCGCACAATCACCATCGAATAATCGGAAAAGAGTAATAAAAGAAAGAAAAGAAGTAAAGTCGGGAAGCGAGAAAAAGTGCTAAAGTTCATAAATTCCATTAATTAATATTTCATTTCTAATCTTTAATTTTGGGTGTGTCATTAATTTGCTAAACATAAAGTCGTAAAACATCCAGTAAATATATTTGTTGATGCATACGCAGAGCAATAATGGTGGAAAAATTTTAATTGAATAAGAATTTGTAAGTGTCCAATATGAAGCCAAAAATATATCATAATAAAATATGGATAAAAATAGATAGTTTAAGGCACAAAATATGTAATAATGGATGGGAAAAAAATTAAAGGAAATATGTATGCCGAAAAAAGTAATGAAAAAATCAATAAAATTTTTTTCATGTCCTTTTGACTCGAAAAAAAAAAATCGTTCATCGGTGGTGTGTACAATGATGATGAAGAAGAAGACGGGAAAGGTTGAATGTATGCGTAGATATAAGCTAATTTTGAACATATACAGTGCGTGCAATATTGAATTTCTTATTCTACTTTTTTCCTCTACGTAAATTTTGACTTGTGTGAATTAAGTTTTAACAAGAAAGTCGAGCAAAGAAATTACCCAAAAACTAAGTATCTAAATTGATGACTATAATTATTAAAATTATGCACATAATATTGAAGGAAGAAGACGCAAAACACAAATAATCACAGAAATGGCTCTCGTATGAGTAAATCAAACACTTGTTTTCATATTCACCTAATTGCTCTTGATATTTTAGTATCTTATGATGCGTACCGACCATACAGCCTTAGCTCTTGAGCAAAACTCTTAGAAACGATACGATACGATGTGATCAGTCAAAAGAACTTTATTAATAATAGTCTAAAATAGCATTCACATAAGATTTTGTTAACAAAAAGAACAAGTCCGTGTGTATAAATTAATATGATAGTACAGGTTTCATTTATGAAGAAGAGCATACAAACCGCACCTAGAATAAATAAAATTTAATTTTAGTTTGTGTATATTGGCGTTGTAAATATACTTATTATTGTGTGAATATTGCCAAGTTCAATTTAATCAAATTTGGTATTTCACAGAGAGTGAGATATAAATTGTACATGTATGAAGAATGTACTACTGGATGAAATATGTAAAGATTTAATTGAATAAATAAAAAAAAATCCACTTGATACATGTGTTGTAGATAAACGACGATCTACGACTTGATGAAACGCTCCGAAGAAATATGAGGAATTCACAGTGAAAATATTATTATTCAATATTAATGTACAAAGCAGATTTTGATAAGCTATGACTTCATTCAATCACATATCATATTTAAAAGAAAATACTGTGACCTAATGTGTATTTTTTATGGAGACATATAAGGCATTGTCTTATCAGTTTCAACAAAAAAAAAATAGTGATTACATTTTTTAAGTAAAATGCACAGGCATGTGTAGAGATAAAAATTTGAACCGCATTCAAAATGCTTATAAGAATGGTATTATTTAAACAGTTATTGAGACTCTATCAAGCTTGATCGCCATAAGCAATTAGTCTAACATTTATGCTTGATTTCATGCTATTACACTCTAAATTCTTTCATACTATGACGATTGCAATCAACGAACAACGAACCGCGGTAAAGAAATGGAGGAGGTCAATTAGCGAAATATCAATAAAAGTATTTAAATTAAAGTTGCAGCTTTGGTCTTGCGCAATTAATAATTACTGTGCAGTCATAAATTGTCGAGACAACGTGTTTCTCTTAATATGATGTTTTTTTTTTATTTCTTGAATAAATTGATGTGAATAGGTCATAAATATACAAAAACCTTCCATGTAATCTGGACTTATTTTCACTTTGCAATAATATGTAGGTATTGTCGTGTAAATCGTACATAGTTATGAGTAATTCCTGCTAGAGAATGTTGATAAAACAATATCAACAACATAATGAAATGAAAATAATTTTTTTATGTAATCTTTCAAAATATTTTTTCCTTCTCTTGATGTGTTGTTACTATAAATAGAAACGTGATGCTATGTATGCTGTTTTCATCTTCTTCAATTCTCTCACTCTCGCAGTATATTCACAGAAAATCTATATATTTTTTTTCTGTCCGCTATGACTGCCTCATTTAAAATGCATTCTTTCGAGTAGGAAAATAAATATATAGAAGTGTTTCTATATATATTGAGTCATAGTGGCTGCTCAGATTCTCTTTTCCTCTTCTTTCTTTTGTGATGGAAAAACTTATGAGATTTTCAAGATATGTGACACACATATGTGAGTCTTAAAAGAAAATTCTTAATGATGCTACTCATTCATGAATTACACTCGAAAAATATTGTCTGTGTCAGAACATATTAAAAATTATTATTTCCTGTGATTGTTTTTATTTTAAATGACAATTACCTATAAGCACATCGAAGCGTTGAGTTCAAGAAAGTGTTGATTTGTAATTTTTTTCTTCTTCTTCGAGTTAATATGTTTGACATGTTCTGTGATTATTTTGTTGTCGATTCTACATTTTTCTTTAATTTAATTTTATGAGGAATTGTTCCCGAGCGGCACTTGAGAATATGGATACAAAGTAGAGTTACCAGGTTTGCTCAGAACTTAGAAATAAATCGATGGCATTGCCAAGTCGCCGAAAATGTAGTTAAATGCTATTTATCATGATGGCGCTATGCAATGTGCTTTCTGTGGTTGATCTTCTGTTGCTACTCAGAAGAAGCTAATAACTAGCTAGCTATCAATCATCAGTAAGATGTTTTCATTAGATCCATCAAAAATTAAAAAGATTATCGTTAGAGTATGCATATCGAGAGATGGACATAAATCATGCGATGTATTGAATATTATTAAATGATGCAAATACGAATATTCTGTGCTTCTAGAGAGAAGCCATTTTTACATGTAATAAATAAATCCATAGAATGTGGGCAGAGAGGAACAGAGTAAGAGTAAGAAGGCAAAAAATGAAAGAACTAACTGATGCAAGAATTGAAAAATTATTTTTTCTGAAATTACAAACAAAAAATGAATGAAAATGAAGAGTTAAATTTATTTTAATTCAACTTCATCAGTATGTATGATGAATCTTAATGTAGATGTAGAATTTGTTGATATTACTGGCACAAGGTCAGAATAATTCGCACTATGAGATTTTTTTAAACATCAAATGTTTGTATTTGTAGTGTATTTGGGATGATATATTATGTCATGCGATAATTTAGTTTTTTTTTCTTCTCTTCTACTGACTGCTGCTCGTGTTTTTTTTTATACACGCTCTACGAAATTTGTTTGAAAAAATCATTTGAGGCTCGAATTTCTACGTACTAATTTTCGTAAAATTTCTTCTTCATTTCCACCTAACAACAATTCAATCCAATCCAACCAGCCGTTTTCATTATGTTCAGCAATACACTTTGACGAATGTGTGTAGAAGTCAAAAATATAAAATCTCAGTTTTTGCAAACTGACAATCGTGCTAAGGTTGAATGAACTGACGACGCTTACTCTTAAAGCATATAAACCAGTTCTTTTCATGTATCATAAGTATTTTCTTTATTTTATCTAATTACCGAGTGAATACTTTTCAAAGTATTTATTTATTTATTGCATTAAATGTGTATCATGAACACCATTTTTTCTGTTCATAAAACAGCAGAAATTTAATTAACATGTCGGCACGTTCCTAAAAAATACATCCAGTCTTATTATGATGAACGTAAACAAAAAACAGAAAAAAAATTGATTCAAGGACTCCTTTCTGCTTCATATCTCTTCATAAAAATAATGCTTATGAATGGCATAGTGAGTTAATTTCATTGTTTGATTGTTTCCATCTTTCTCAGTTGCATAATAACAATAAGAACAAACCGAATTCTCGAGAGTTGAGATTAAACAGTAGCACATTTCCTTGATTTCTTCAAAATTTCATGTCTCATGATTCCATCTCGAGTACATGAGTTATGTTTATTTCTTTTCTTGTGTATATAATAAAGCAATCGTAATATGGATCGACTTACCATTTTTTATATACTTGAATATTTCGCTCGTGTCAACACTTCATAAAATATCAAAAATAATGAGTTTGCCTTCCTACAAAGTAGTTAATGTACATGGAGAAGATGATGAATAAGAATAGTTCTTGACTGTTCATAGATATGGAAATGTGTGCGCATATTGCGATTATTTGAACTCTAAACTGCCTGTTTTCGGCTGCCTTTAAGATAGAAACCTTGGCAAAATCACAAAAAATTTCTCTCTCTCTCTCATTTTCTATGGAACTTACAGACGGCTTACGAAAAATAATGTATTGGAATCTAACTTTCTATTTTGGGAACTCCGCAAGATCACGATGAGAATTCGAGAATTCATGTTGAATGAGGGGATCAAAAAGATTTTTTTTTAATTTTGGCTTATATAAACAAATCTTGTCTTCTTCTTCTTCCTAGCATCGCATGTCGTTAATTACTTACAACGAAATAATTTTGATTTACAACAGACAAGCACAGAAAGTTTTTGTTTTTTGCAGTCATATGGCAAATTTAAAAAAAAAAATTTCAATTATTTTCTTCTTTTTCG